ATGTTTCGACAAGAACCTGGTGTAATCCATTTGTGCGAGCTTGGGAAATTCTCACAGAAAGATATCTTACTCAGAAGTGTTATTTATTGGAGCTACGACCAGATTTATTATTCCTGTCTCCGTGATGAAACCCGCTATAGAAAATTCACCATTACGGCTAACCAGTCTATGGCAACTAGAGTCGACCAATAGATCGTAGTGTTGTAGGAAATCTATCCTGATGATAGGAGACAGTATGTCAGCAATGACAAGTTCTTACTGGAATGGTATACGAAAACTAAAGTCTAGGATCGAAATTTTGGTTCAATCTATAGTAATAGGGGATCCGTTTGCCGCTTGTAGTATCAAGGTCGGGTTGCGATAATGTTTTTCGGAAGGTGTTGGTAAAATCACATTCACCTCTGCTCCAGTGTCAACCAGAAACTGAGCCCTAGTCTTCTTATCCTTCGCTCGAAACAAACAACTGCGTTTTTGTTCATTGGCGACGGGAGTCGTCACTGATTGCTGGCCTTTTCCTTTCCCGAAAAACAGGTTTGAAAATTGTATGGTAACAGACAATGACGTGCTTGATGGCCAAACTTCTTGTGGTACCAGCAAGCACTACTTTTCGATGCAGATCTGCTTGAGGTTTTATCACTATTCTGAATCGACTTATATAGAACTTCGATAATCCTTTGTGTAACTACAAAGCTGTCCTGTATGTCAGTCTTCCACTCTAGAGCAGCTACTCAGTCATCATGCGTTGACTCAGGAATACTTTCATACATACAATCGGCGATGTCAGCCAGTCTGTCAGTGTCAATTTCTGCATCTCCAACAGCTAATATCTGCTGAATACATGCTGGAAGTCTCCGTAGCCAAAACTGGTAGAATAGGCGGATGTTTACGTTCCTATCTTTCAACAGACTTTGCATACGTCGGTTAAGTTGTGAAGGTGCTCTGTCACCAAGGCATACACTACTTAATAGTTGATCGACAGCTTTCTGGTCAGATAAAGAGGTAACTTTCATCACTTCTTGCTTCAGAACATCATTAGGTGTGTCTGGGTGGGGCTTCAATAGCGTCTCTCTTACTTCTTCAGCAACTTCTTTCGATAAAACAGTACTTGTGTATCCGTATTTTGTGTTTTATGAAGTTATATGATTGGCCATGAAAAAATGCTCTAGACAGACAAACCACAGTTGCGGGTCATTAAACTTAAAAGAGGGTATAGGAAGACTAATGGCACCCACAGACCCTACATTCGAAAAGTTCTGATAATGAGATTTTGAAGACATCAGTACTTGTACAGCGAAATATGATAATTTCAAGAACTTAAAATAATAAGAGTAGGAAAAATACGATAAATAAATATGTAAATGCCTGCCACAAAGCAGCTGGGGATATTCTTAGCCCCTTGCAAACTCCCATTATAATTGAAAAGGAACAAAGAATATTCTTTCCAGTAACTTCTCCAGATCCCACAGTTATATATGTCCATATTTTGTCATTTTACATTCTATTTGGAGGTTTGTGGAGATTCATTAATTGATTTTAGGTTGGAATCTATCACGGACTGACATCAGTTTGAGGAACATTGGAAACCTGGAAGCACTGAGTGATCGTTTCGTCCTAATATAAGACTCCTCAGCACTGTGCATCCATGATCCTGCCAGGGGTCAAACTCAGGACCCTCAGGTCCCGTGGACGTTTGAATTCCAACCCAGTGGCTCAATGGTAACGCGCTGGCCACGAAACCAGAAGGTTCTGGGCTTGATCCCTAGTGGGATCATAGATGCGCAGTACTGAGGAGCCTAAAATTAGGACGAAACAATCACTCAGTGCTTCCAGGTTTCCAATGTTCCTCAAACTGATGTCAGTCCGTGATAGATTCCAACCTAAAATCAATTAATGAATCTCCACAAACCTCCAAATAGAATGTAAAATGACAAAATATGGACATATATAACTGTGGGATCTGGAGAAGTTACTGGAAAGAATATTCTTTGTTCCTTTTCAATTATAATGGGAGTTTGTAAGGGGCTAATATACAATCAGTAATAAGAAACTAGAGAGCTGAGAATAAATCTAGAGTTCATTGGTAACATACAGAAAGATAGTTGTCGTATGGTAAATGATTATTTCAATCAATGTGTTATATAAATGTTAACTGTTATTATTTTTTATTTACTGCATTTACAATAATACAGAAAATTTCACTGATTACGTATTCTTGGCTTCTATCTGCTTGGTGAGTTAGTTCAGTTCCTGATAATTTCGTTATTGCTAACTACAACATAATTATCTACTACACAAAGTGAATAGTGGCTACAAAATCCACATTAATTTTATTTACACACCCATACAAATTGTATCACAGTCGTGATTATGAACAACAAATGGTAGATGAAGGTCATCTAGTAAATGTTACTATCTATGTGCGCTATATTAAATTAGGAATTTAGTACCGAACTAAACTGTCCTACTCTAACTTTATTTTTATGCATCTTCTAACTTTGGTTGATTTAGTTCAAGTGTTTAATCTTTGCATTTAGATTAAAGTCACCATACGTCATTTATGCTCACACCCGAATTACATAACATCTGATTGCTAACTAATTTTTAATAAGTAATGAGAGACAGAATTAACTGAGACAAGACATGTCCATTCTATTTGTGATCTTAAATTTAATCATCAGAAAGGTTATCAAAATCCTGATATTCGACAAGGGAAATTGAGTTAAATCTGTTGACATAAAGATGATTTCTTCAAGAAATATGAAAAATCATGATTCCGTACCACAAAACAATAAATCAGTCCCCTTAAAAATAAACCACACTTATCTTCATGTTTTCTGTGTCCGAGTTCCCAACAAAAGAAACTAACTTTGTGTTTCCCATTAGTGATGTCTCTGTTAACGCAGACAGAGGCTAATTAGACTCCAAGTGCATACTCCTTGAGATATTGAACTAATTAGAGTGGAATCTAGTTGAATGTCCTCCAGGAGTAGAGTAACAACCATTTTGTAGAAGAAACCCCTAGTTGATTTAAATAAGTAGAGTGTAAGGCCTCAATAATGTCTGAGGTTTTGCAGTACACGCATCATTGCTGAAAAAACTCTCATGTGTCAGTGGTACATCCCACTAAAAAGTCAATTAGGGAAAAGCAGTAAGTATTCCACTAGACTGTTGATGACATTCTGTTAAGGATAATTTGTTGTTGATGACTTTACTAACAAGGGAATGAAGATTTAACCATAATAGGAATGTTTTCGTAAGCAATTATGCAAGGAGCTTGAACCTGTATGAGTTTAGCTGAAAATGAATGAATCTAGTTAACAGTGAGCATCATTCAAAGTCACAAATCAATTCAGTGAATAAATTTTTCTTTTCAGCAGCTGCACAACTATATTTATAGTAACAACAAACGAACAGATTACTCTGTTATTGGCTAATGACTTTCAGCATCAAACTGAATGTTCACTTTTAGAATCACAGTTACGGGTTGGCAAAGGGTAGGAAATTTAAAAACAGAGATTGTATAATCACTCGAAAACCTAATTCTTTCACCGATAGGTTCAATCTCGGTATTACTTTCACCCTAACTGGTTAAGAATAACCATAAAAAACAAATGAATTTTCCACTTCAGAATGAACATTAAATTCTAATCAGGTTATTCACATTTTGTTTGCATGGCATTTATGCTTGAATGACTCCTTCTCCTTTTCGGTAAACTTTAAACTCTTAGTATAAATAACATTCACAATTTACTCTTAAAATGTAAATTTGTTAGTAAGCTGACGTAATGTTTAGCGGTGAACCTCTTTTTGCAAAATGAAATGTGGCTTCGATTTAAGCTGTACATATTCCTGGAAAACTGATTTACTCGTTTCATCGAGAAAAAAACACTATATTCCTTGTAAATTTACTGAATTATGACTGTCTTGAATTACCCCAGCCTATGTTTCCCAATATGGGAGTAGAAACTAGGTACTGTAGTGAAGTATAATTTCATCTTAGTTGATCTATTATACATATATCACAGCAGAACGCCATGAATAGAATCTTAAAAGTTGTGTATGCTGCACCAGCCAAAGTGTCGATAATGTGAATCTCAGATAAGTGTTAATGGTCATACTATTTTATTTTAAAAGTCGTTCTACTGATAACCTTATTATACAACTCGGTTCAATAACTTTAGGTCGACCACTCATCCGTTTCTGTACGACCTATATTGTGGAAATAACTGCATGCTGACTGAAACCCATTGTTATGCATTATCCCATATTTTGCGCTTGAAATCAATTGTTTCATTTTTCCCAATTTCGACGTTTGTGAGGATTTATTGGTTTCAGGTTGGTATTCATTATAGACTGACATCAGCTAGAGAAACACCGGAGACATGGACAACTGTTTCGTCCTAGTATGGGACTCAGCAAAGCGCACCCATGACCCCGCCAGGGATCGGACTCAGGCTAGCACGTTACTATTGAGTCACTGGGTCGGAATCCAATACTCCATATTTTCTAACTCTATCAGTTCACGATATATCGCGACCGCAGTTGATTAACTGTCCTCATGTTCGACTTGGTTGGCCATACTGATCACTACCCCTCATTGAAACTTCGGAAATCACCTCTCGAAGCTAGTCATCAATAAGCATCTTTATAAATCGTGGTGCGTTATGGTAAAGTAACTTAGTTATATATACAGATGAGATCCCCTAATACACATACAAACAGCACCAAACTTCTGTTGTAAATGACTAAGAGAGTAGAAGAGCACGACTCGTCGTTAGGGTGAATTGAGTATATGAGATTGGGCAGGTATATTTTAAGACGAATCACGTGCTTAGGTCAATTGCAGCTAGACAAAGTTACAGCTAATTAGCGACAAAGGATATATAATGTATGTACTTCAATACCACTATAGATAGGAAAACGTTATCCTACTATACGATAGATCCCTGCCTGCTAATCTAATCACACACTACACTGGAAATAACAGAAATCATGTCGTAGGTTAGTAATTCTTTATCTAAAACTTAGTACCAGTGAAAATAGTTTATTTCAGGACCAGACATCATACGTGTATATGTATAAAGGTGTAATTTGTACTTCACAAGACTTTCAATAAATACAGGAAGTTATCCTCACCATAATCTTCAATATTAGAATATACAAATATATCTTATGGTGAATGAAAGAAATTAAGAAATTGAATATAACAAATCTTTTTCCTTAAGCTAAATTATTTACAGGTTGAAGATTTAAATTTCGTTTACGACGTTTAGCAAGGCGCCTTCTTTGACAACGTGTTAAGTGTGTGTCCACATGATGACTTGATGGTATAGACGTATTTTGTGAGCAGTTTGATATAACATTATTATTTGGTAGCGTTGTATTTACATCAATATTATTATTGTTATTACTACTAGTAGTAGTAGTATGTGTTTTGCAGTTTGCATTTTCAGACGTTGATTGTGATGATGCTGAATCAGAATTTTTGCGACGTTTTTTACCATGTGGTAAAAGGTTGGATGTGATAGACTTTTTCTTTGCTACTGACTGTAAATTAATGTGATTCGAAGATATAGGTATATTTTCTGTAAGTGATAGCCAAGACTGATCAATTATTGAAACATGTCGCATAAAAATACGATCACCTTGACTAACTACATCGTTACACTGAACATTACAATCGCTATTCGTCACTGCTTCAATAAAAATTAAACACGGTGGTGGATGATTGAGTGAAGATACATATAATTGTGATTCTGGGTGAATTAATAATTCTTGTGGTGAATTAGTCGTCAAATTACTCTTACTATGAACATATACAGGATGTTGAGAGCCTTTTATGACTTGATTCGAGTTTTCTTTGGACATTTTTGAAAGTTCAGATAGAATAACAACCTGAAAAAAAGGTAAAACAAAGCAAAGGACTGTAGTTGTTCTATTGTCATAGTATTTTAATAGATAAGCAAGGAATTAGCAATACAAGAATTAAAAAAAAACAACGCAGATAAGTAAAACGAGGTTCACAAGATCCAAAAAAGTAGTAAGTTCAATGCTAGTTAAATATTTCCGCGTAGTTCAAAAATAAAAATCAACCAGCCAAAAATTTGAACTATGTGCTTATCACCACTAAATTGTTTTGACAACAGTAATAAAGATGACACTTTGACTTCAAACAATATACAATGTTATACAATTATTTGCTATATACTTCATTATTAATCAAAATACTTTTTTAAAAGGAATGTTTACTATAATTTAAGTCATAAAGAACAAGAGTCACAAGGCAAAAATTACAATTACTTTGAATGCCAAATCGAACATAACCAGTGGGTTCATGTTGAAACAGTGCTGTCTACCCAAAAGTATGAAGTCAAAATGATGCATAGATGACCGTGTTTGATTCTGCTGTCTCATCTAGTTAGACATTTTTAAATATCTTACAATAATTCAAATATTATATTCCTCCGCTAATAACAACAATAATTAATTATCATTTGACTATCTGGGATAGATGTAGTTTGACAGACTAGTATTTATAGTGGATAATGATTGAAGGTGAAATAAAATCTGGACCACAGCTGGGTTCGAACCAGCAACCAACTACCAAATGAGCTACACGGTTATATTAGGACCTCGTAGCTCAGCCCAAATTTTCATTTCACCTTCAATCATTATCCACTATAAATACTAGTCTGTCAAACTACATCTATCCCAGATAGTCAAATGATAATTAATTATTGTTGTTATTAGCGGAGGAATATAATATTTGAATTATTGTAAGATATTTAAAAATGTCTAACTAGATGAGACAGCAGAATCAAACACGGTCATCTATGCATCATTTTGACTTCATACTTTTGGGTAGACAGCACTGTTTCAACATGAACCCACTGGTTATGTTCGATTTGACGTTCATGTAGCTTACATCTCCATACACGATTTAAACCACCAGTCAAAGATTATATCGACTGGTAGCACGTCCTGTTCTGGCGATCCTGAGCCTTTTTCCAATCCAATCCTATTCCAGGTAACACTGCACATCGAGGTAGGCGGTTGGTCAATATAGGTTACATATTTCCAAGCCACCTCAGACGATGAAAGCTCACAACCTCATCAATCGACTTGCCGCTCTGGTCTAGTACCCTTAGCCCGACCTCAGTATTCTTCACATAGTGATTCCACCATATGCAAGCAATGCTACGAAGACATCTATCATCAAAATCCCTTAATCGCTTCATCTCGTCTACTTCAAACAACTGTCTAACAGCCCTACAACAAGACACAACCAACTGCAGCACAGTATACTCGTCCTTTGATACACTAGTCAGATATCTCACCATTCTGTACCAAAAGTGATGCAAGTGACAAACACGCTTTATATTCGAGCTGAGATTTCGTCAGCAACCACCCCGTTCGGTGGGCTGATGCAACTTCCCAAGTGGGTGAAGCATTCGACACATTCCACCACTTCACTCCCTCCCTACCATTAAACGCAGTATTGTAGTAGATCACTCCTGGAGCATCATCTAACACGTGTGAAACGCATACCAAATATACACATATTTCTGCTCAACACCTTCACAAGACCCTTCATTGCGTCGGCGTCTTCACCTAACAGGAAAATATCATCTGCATACTCCAAGTCAACTGAATGACCTCCAGGGAGCAGGTCAATCCCTGTGAAGTCAGGCGTACCTATGCTTATGCTCATCAGTACGTCTATGACGAAATTAAACGGGAACGGTGACAGTGGAGATCCCTAGCGAACACCACTAGTTGTCATCAGTGCATACGATGACTCTCCCATAAGCCCTGATATGGCTGTGTGGGTACGAGTGGAGTGCTCTGACTAGCGTTATATACTTACTCGGTACGTCTTTCACAGTCAGATACTGCCACAATGCTTCGCGGTTGACAGAGCGAAATGCTACCTTCAAGTCAGGAAGTATGGTAAGTCTCAGTCACTGGTTGGTGGGTATGCCTGTGTTCCAGAACCTGCCGAAGTGTGAAAATTTGACCAACCCACTCTCATCGAAGTCTAAAACTTGCCTGGTTTTCTTGAAGCCCAATTAAGTGCTGGATAACTAAAGACCCTATGACCTTGGAAACGATGTCAGTTAGACTAATTCTCCTATGGCTATCACAAGAAGACTTTTCTTCTGTTTTATAAACTAGATGGTCAGCGGTTTACTCTAAATCCAGAGGACTGATTGTGGTTCCCATACACTACCTTGTACCATTATGGCTCTGTTCAGTAATTTTCTACCTCCTTTCTAAAAGTCTTCTGGCAGTAAACCGTCAACTTCTGTATGTTTCGCTCATTTTAGTTTCGTAAAAGCTTTCTCAAGTTTGAGGACCGATATCGGCGTCTCACTGAAGTCGAGGCTGGACGCATCATCAGCATAGTACTGCTGGTGATCCGTGGGGAATACCTTACTGTTTTCACATCCACTTCCAGTTAGCAGTACAACTTCGCAATCAGTATAACACAGTTATTTACATTATGACGGTAATTCCTTTCTTCGGACCACTATACAACAGACCTTTATGGCTTAGCAGGATCTGGAGGAAGACGCATTTCAGCTAGAGTAGCTCGCTGGCTTATGATAAGACGCAAACCCAACCAGCACTTCGAGGCATCAGCTATAGGTCGGGTATGCACTTAGAAACGTTTTCGGTCTACAGAATGTGGTAAAAATAACAACTCTGTATTTAAGGGACACTAGCAACACGTGTATTAGATGAGGACGATAGTTCTCACTGTGATGAAACCTGGAGTCAATTCAATCTGTTGTGGATATGGAGGTAAAAACAATTAGTAACATGCAACCAAAAATAGATGGTGCCCAGTAATATTTGAAGTTTTATTCGAAGTAATTGGTGCAGAAGATTCATCCCAGCTGAATTCAATTAAGATAAGCGAAAATCGCCCTAAACTATAAAAAAAATGGCGGCGTTGAGAATGCCTCAGGGATAGTTCAGTTAACCTGGAATTCTTATTTTAATGCTTATCATCCAGTCATAACCTGAATGGAACACAGAAGTTAACTATCCAACACTCACAAAAGAAAGGAGGGTCGAAAGTAGAAACATCTAATGATCCTATGGAAGCTTCAGTTCGTTAATCATGGCACAGATTTATCAACTTAGCTATTCAGAAGAACCAACTGCTTGGGGCACGACTCTATCAGAAACACCAGTTGATTCTGATAATAAGTATTTTTCGTCTATCTTAAATGTAACTATAACTGTTAGAATTTCTCGAACTCAAATAGTAGCGTGAGGATGTAAACAAAGGTTTAATATTTTTTGTTTTACTCACCTGATCTTGAAAACCTGACAAGAGGAATGATTGTACTACTTTCTCCGTATCTGTTCCACAGGAACGCAAATAACCAGCTAATCCCGAACCTTGAGAGATTTTTTTAAGCTGAGCACGTACGCGTACAGCAGTGTCTAAACGAGCTCGATTTATGAAGTTTGCGCGACACCATTGAAGCTTAGAATTACGCTTGCGTAGTTTATCTTTTGAGGGAGTTTGGGAGGAGGAATATAAATTTGTTGAAGTAGAAATCTCGGAGTTGACTAATTTCTCAGATCGAGAATCTTTTGTGGCTTTAATAAATCCATGATAAATCAGCAGAAGACTGACAAGATCACCAGATGGATGCCGAAATCTAGACTGTACCTAGATAAATAAACAGCATTTACATTACTTTCAGTCTCTAAGTCAAATGACCTAGAAGAATTACACCTACAATAGGTGTTCGATTAAAAAATTGTGTATTTATCAGTCATAAACAAATTGTAATCACATGTTTCTTAATGCATATTAACACACAATGACACTACATTACGGTAGAAAAGGTTTCAGATAAAGAATATGTGAAGAGACATGACCTGAGGAAGTTGAAATTAACAAATATTCTTATTTAAAGATCTTAATACAATCAACCTGAATTATTATTACCTCTAAACCAATGAAAAAGTTAATGGTGAATTAGTACATCAAACACACAAAACCCAAATTTGTAGAAGTTGAAAAGAATAGGCGAATTTCGAACAGAAAGTTGTATATTGCATTGTGTATATGCATAATTAAGCGAAGACAATTTATACAATAACTTTGAAACTGTAGACAGTAAAAACAGATTCGAGTCAGTCAAGATCAAAATTGGACCTAGCGTTACTGTGTAACAGTCCAAGTCGCCATATTTCATATCATCACATTAGGCTGCTATATTTTCCACTAATGCAAATGCTCTTTTGCTGTTCGTCATTTGCTTATCATAACTGTTGACTTGCATTGTGACTTTGACTTTTATCTCATTAAGTCATATGGAAGCAGTAGAAGCTTTCTTTCATGATGCTTGTGAGCTGGAAAGTAACCTCAGCTGGACTGTATTTATCGCCTAACCGAGTAGGAGATTTTGACTCCGTTTCAATCTCGTCCTAACAATCCTACAAATATGACATCATTATCAGTTGAGTTGAAAATAATTTAGTTTACGAGTTTCCTTTTCCTTGTCAATAGTTGGTTTAGCACTGTAATAAATTATTAATCAAAGTTGAGTAAATGATATAATGAAAAGGGTAGAATGTAATTAACTTACATCTGAAAATTCACTGCGCTTTTCAACTGGCACATAAAATACAGGAGAAACGTACAGCATACTTATGATACTAAGCATTTCGACCAAGCAACCCAAGTATGCAGCGGAGACTAAGGTTCTAGAAAATCTTGGTTCCAGAGGGAATGCTGACATTAGTCGCCCTAAAACAGTAAGCTGAAAAGTTCACAGAAATGGAATCTGTTAACAAAAATATCATATCATTATAGTCGCAAGGAAGCAATAACATAAGAACATGAAAGACAAATCAACATACGAAATCGCACAAAAGTGTATCAATCCAAGTTGCTCCACATTCTAGTAGAATAAAAAAGAAAAGGTGGGCAGAAAAAAAGTGACATTGAAGTAGACGAGAGCGCATAACGGGGAAAAAGAATAAATAGGTGAATTTCTATGAAAATGTACAACTGCGACAATATCAGAAACATCCTACAGTTAGCTTACAGTTTTCTTGAATCTAGGATTCATGTTGAAACTCAAAGCTATTCTCAGACTAATCCAGTTTTCTCTATTTTCACTTTACTGATAACACCAGAATTGTTGCATGTCCATACAACAATAGTATTTATAAAATATTCCTGCGAAATTATGAATTTAAATGATAATACACCTACCAAGCCCTCCGGACCATTATAAAACAAAAGACAATCTTCGACAAAACAATAAGAAGACGTAAATTGTCTGAACCGTGTAATGTATTTGCGCAACACATTTCGAACTATCTGATCACACACGTACTTGTCATAGGTATTTATATAAAAACTCATGAAGATAAGGGGTGAGAAAATAAAAAGGGGGTCAGGTAGGAAGGCTGACTTAAAGGCCGAATAACAATGAAAATCAATAGGGCGAAAAAATAATAGTACATCGAACTTGGTTTTTCAATAGTTGAATTTACCAAGGAAGGTTTAATGTGACAACAAATTGTTTATGAATACATAAAGGTGGTTTAAACTTCCTAATAGCTAAGGCTTCAACAAATTTCAGGATCCCTCCCCAACATGTTTTGTAGATAGGTGTAAAGGAAGTAGCCACATCAATCTTGTGACCTGTCTCAACGATATGTTTAGCGATCGAAGAGTTTGGACGTTTGCTACCAACATTTATAGGTTCAGGTGATTTGATTTGCTTCTGAAGCCACTTTGGAATATGTTCCGAGGCCCTTACTTGCATGGATCTATTAGTCCTCCCTATGTATGTGTCACCACACGTACATTTGAATTGGTAGATACAATGGGATGTGACATTATCGTTCACATGCTGTGGGGGTTTGGGGGAATATAAGGGCTTCGTGGTTTCGATTACTCGAACCCTGGCTGCATAATAAGTCCTTCTAACAGCAGCGTTGAGTCTCTGCTTACACCTATCTACAAAACATGTTGGGGAGGGATCCTGAAATTTGTTGAAGCCTTAGCTATTAGGAAGTTTAAACCACCTTTATGTATTCATAAACAATTTGTTGTCACATTAAACCTTCCTTGGTAAATTCAACTATTGAAAAACCAAGTTCGATGTACTATTATTTTTTCGCCCTATTGATTTTCATTGTTATTCGGCCTTTAAGTCAGCCTTCCTACCTGACCCCCTTTTTATTTTCTCACCCCTTATCTTCATGAGTTTTTATATAAATACCTATGACAAGTACGTGTGTGATCAGATAGTTCGAAATGTGTTGCGCAAATACATTACACGGTTCAGACAATTTACGTCTTCTTATTGTTTTGTCGAAGTTTATCAAGGGAACTAATTGTTTTAAAAAGACAATCTGTTAATTGGTTGGAGGCAATCGGCAAGAAGCTCTGAATCTAGGTTTTGAGCTTGCTGGCACTCATCAGCAAGGCGTACATTCAACCTTCAGAGAACTTATTTCTGTGGTTCGAACCCTTGCCACTAAGTGCTACGGTCAGCGACGATGCCACTGAGCTAGTTAGTCCTCCTGTGTTGCAGACATACCTTGGTGACAAGCACCAAACTTAGGTCTGTCGATTGCCTCCAACCAACTAACATCCATCAAAGTGCACCGCAATGTGAGTCTTTTAACTCAGTAGCCACATTGTAAAATGACGATAGAGTTTAGTCGGCACTCAGGATTGGAATCGGTTACTCTCCAGTGACCAATCGATAAGAGAAAAATCTTCCCAATGCTAGATCATCGATTTTTCAAGGACAGTGGCTATGATTTTGAATTATTGATACGACAACCATCAAGAAATGAATGTGGATAAAGGAGGTGAACCAATATGCAAGAATACAGGATAGTAGTCACACCATAAGCATGTATTTTACATATCGATGGTTGTCAGGATAATTTTACACAGGTGAAAAGAAAGCATAGACCAGAAATTCTCACGTGTATTCAAATCAAGCAGATGTAATTTTGTGAACCTCTATTCCCTTACATACATTATCAAATAAGGAAGCTTGCTTTGGTTTTTTCCCCATCACCACAAGCTAAGAAAAAGAAGTGAACGAAAACTTTCCTTGGAAATGTTTATCTTACGCGTTTTAATGACCTGAGATGAGATATTTAGTTGTTGTAGATGTGCCATCACTTTTTTTTGCATATACACTTAATTGGGCATTTTAGTGACCTTAACCCTAACCCTTCAGTTGTTTATCAGATGACTGGAGTTACTGAAATGTTTCCGATATCTTTTGTTAAGACTATCTACATCTTTTCAGTTGAATTTATTTGCATAGCTATCTAAATTCATTAGTGTGATGAAACATGTACATGTATACAAAAGAAAGATTAACATAAGATTATACATACAAAGTTGCGAGCAGAGCATAATTGCAACCCCCCCCCCCCCCTCCCACAAAAGAAAAGGCAGGACAAACGAGTATCAGAGTTGTGTGATTACTTTGACATGACTAGGAGCGATGGATTATGCTCGTGATGTTATGCAGTAAATAATAGTGCATCAATATGTGCTATATCAAAGAAACTGGTTCAAAATGAAATTATACTCCGCTTCAGTTTTACCCGTACATCGATGAAAATTCTGTTCAGTAGTAACAATCAGTTTTCTCTGTCCATATTATTTGACAATATATCACATCATAAATAGTTTAAATTTTCTTCAATTAACCGATCGGTGCAGTGATGTAATATATTCTCTTGTGAATCAATCTTTATTTCTTGACTGACCACCGTTTCTATGGAGCAACACTCGATGATAAATTAACCATAAAATATACAGTGTTAGTACAACAAATATGTTTGTAGAATCATAATGAAACACAAAAGTAAGTTTCTGATGTATTGAGATCTCATGAAGGTTGCTTTTTTCAAAGAACAAAACTTGTACAGTTTTATTGTATTTCTAATTAGTAAATAGAACACATCGGATTACATTGTTCATATATGCATGCAAAAAAACAAAGTGCGAATAAATGTTTTCGTCATTATCTGTTGATCAATGAGGTTAAAGTTACCACGTGAAATCTACACAAATATGCGTAAGGGTGTAAGTTGATCTCAATGAGAGAAGGTGAAGTGAATGAGAAACTTAGTTAACAAGTGTTCACGGGTACCTTTGAGATAGACTTAGTTGTGATAGGAAAAACATATAGTAACCAAGTTCGTGGGATAGTTAGGCTTCATATCGATAAAGTGAGTGAAAATTCAAAACAATAAGAGATGCTTCAGCGAAGTGACTTCAGTGGCCACCCTAGTAACAACTGAAGTAACGAATTAGGCTTCGATATTTCAGCTAGTAGTTGGTTTTTGATAAAATAAAGAACTGCAATTGGTTATCTCAGAAGTTGTTAAGATGGCCTTTGAAGTCGCTCTGCTTTAACCAGCCATCTGCCTTACTGATAACTTGTATAATCTTAATTTCCTGAAAGAGCTTCGACGAAGCATGAAAAGCTACGTATTTACTTCTGTACTTTATTGAGGTTTTACGGATAAATTAAGTTAATAAACAGTTCACTCCGTTCTGAAACAGATCAGGCCAAAGTATGAGGGCAAAGAAGTACACACTACAAAGTATATAATGCAATTTAGATTGCTACACGTTAATTTACAATCGATTACAATTGTCAGACTCATCTCAATTCGCAAGTTTACATTCACTTGAAATGTCTCACATCAACATTTAGATTTCATGAATTGATGCCAAATTTAAGTCCGCCTCTCACTAGCTCTTTTGTCTCAGCTCAGACGGTCAGCCTAACCAACTGTCCACTGTTATCCACCCTTACTCTTAACAGCCCACTATTCAGTACAGTCACGCATAAACTCTTTGTCAGTCTACATTTCAGCTGCTTTCACTCTCGGACTATGCAGAAATGAGTTCACCTGCATCCACTGACTCAATTGAAGCTATCCATATACACCTCCTGACAGTCGCCAGTGGAATTTAACGCTGTTTTCATACCAGATTGCAGACGACACCTACCTACCTTCATTCATCATGAGTGACTCCCCTGCTTCCTGATTACTATCTGACCACTTCGTCGTTGAAACCAGCCTTAGTATTCTCATCATCAAGCTACACTCAGAAGTCTTGCCCCTGTTGCTCACCTACAACTATTCACGAGCAGACATACGCCTACTCGAACTAACGTGTGATCACCGCCAACGCACAAGCACCAGTGACAAGCTACCACCAGTCCTCTCCAGTTGTTGATGATGGCACTATGGTCTACTTGTGTCCAACGTTGAGTTTAGGTTAGTGGATGCAAAGTCACACAAAGCCTCTCTCTCTCTCTCCCTCTCTCTCTGTTCAAAGTCCCTGTTGGTCAAAAATAGGTGCTTGTCTGAGCACAGTTGTAACAGTCAGTCTCCATTATCCGTTCGTTCAGTTGAGATTCAGACAGTGCCACACAGGTGGTCTTATTATTGACTTTGCCTACTTACTTGTGTATGCAAATCACCTGCTAAGGTAACCACTTCTAAACGTTTGGTCTTCAGTAGTAGACTAGACTGTTTTTAGTAGAACTTGTCTTTCACTTCACCCAAAATGAGGTCAGTAGGTGAGTAGGCAGAGATTACGTGTTTGAATATGGTTAATTACTACACTAGTAGAATAAAACTAAAATACTCAATAATGTTGCCATATGAACAGGTGAAGTTAAAAGCACTTGAGTGAGACTTCAGTTTCTGAAACACGAATAAAAAAAACCCAGAAACAAGTTATCGGTTTGAGTGTCTTGATGACACCGAAGATACAACTTCATCTACTGAATTCCATACAGTAAATGTCAGGTGAAGGTGAATCGGCAGTGTTATTTAAATTACTGAAGAGCACATACTGAGTAAAGTTAAGTGGCGGACCTTTTCAAGGTAAAGACTTCACATACAAATTGAAGCAAAACTATGCATTCAGTAGACGATAACACAGCGAGAGGTCTACACGCCAGTTTATTGTTTGTTTTTGGGAGGGGGAGAATAACTACTGAATCTCTGATTTTGGAATCAAAATCAAGTATGTGTGACGAGGATAGTTCAACATCTGCCGCAGATGCCTGCGATACTTCACTACTTATGAAACAAAGAAATGTGAAGGATTAGAACTGTAAACAACGCGTTTTAAATCCGCGCAGTTACCACAAGAAACTGTATCTGAAATAATGTCTAGTGAGTAATAATTTATCATAACCACTGCTTTTTAAAATTAAAATTAAGATGATACAAACAATTCTGTAGTGATACAGGTAAAGATTAAATCTACATAGAAGCTTATCAGCATATTGTATTTACTAAACAGGGCAAATAAAAATGATTGACCAAAATACAGTTAGATCACTTACAGATAAATGATAAGGTATCTGTACAGAATCAGTTGGTTTAGCAGTATCTGCGACAAGTGTTGATTGTTGAACAGACTCAGAAGACTGTGATCCTACATTGTAATTCACTTCAACAGCCCCTAATCGGAGTAGTAATTTGATACCAGCGTCAATGGAGGTTGCTTTGGGCGGCGATAACCACGGAAACTGAATAGGATTCTACGTACGAAAACAGATAATGATCAATATGTAGGTAGGGAATTAATCAAAAACTCGCTTATAAAAAAATTCATCCATCTAGATCGAATAAATCCAGAAGGTAGATACAGTTCATAAAGCCATGTCTTTTGACATAATTATTGCCGGTATTTTGGACAGTGTACCTGATCTGGCAGTTATTCTACGGTATTCGACAATATGAAGCGCTTTGTTGTATTCAGTTTATGGTGCTCTCACGCTAAAAATTAGTTTTGCAAGTGAATTGCTAGAATGCAATTCCACCCTAAATCCAGCCTATATCATTGAAACCAAAATTTAAGGTTTTTGATATTTTTTTATTTGGCAACACTACAGAGACCTTGACTTCATTCCCAATCGTCTCACAACCACTTGCTCACATTAGCACTTCTTTTTTTACCGATTTCAGAAAAATCTATGAAGATACTTACGAAAAAGTTTAATTTCCCTTACGTGTTTCACTTCTCTATTGAACTTCTTTTGCACACTGGCCAAATTCCTAGCTACATTACTCAAACCTGTTACAAACTTACATTAACTAAGATGACTTCAAGTCTAGATATCTTTTAGAAAGAGGTAGTTTTTTGTTGATATGCCTATCTCAGCCACCGTATTCTCCTCGCTTTATTTTGCAGTCTAACAAAACTAATTCTTTTGATCATCTCCCAACTCGAAAGTAAGTACGACCTTACCTAACACTAGATTTATGCATGCGAAGAAATCATATATATGCCATGATTTAAAAACAGCAAATATGTCATTCATATATCTCCATCATACCTTCGAGTAGGACTAAACGTTTTACGTCATTAATTGGCTAACAATCAATCTGCTGTAACCACAGATAATGGCCATTCCAATGCAACTCCTTCAGCATGTATATTTTATCTTGAAATCTGAAAACTGCTGAATCTAGACGCCTTAGCTAAACCAAAAGATTAGAAAGACTGAGGGATTGATTAGTATCACTATCAGAAAGCCGTCAGAAATGGACAGAAAAGTAATCTGGACATCACTCACAGCACCAGGTATTATGTTAGGAATCTTCGTTTATGGGATCAGCACCTGACACGTACCACAGGAATGAATCAAGACAAATACAGGATATGTGGAAAATCCTAATAACCAGCAAAACCCAAGGAAAAGCAAGTCTTAAGTGCTTAGTGGGAAATTTGCTGACTTCAGTGGTGAGTAACATGGGTTGAAATCACCAAAAAAATACATCCCCTAAAGTTTACAGATCTGCCTTGGTGATGAGTGTTAGAAAGCTCAAAACCTAGGTCCAGGGATTCATGTTGATGGACACCTAACGCCAAGACGCACTGCATTGAAGTGTTGCGACACTTAGCTAACTGATAGCATGGAAAACCTGGCAGATAAACTTCTGTCAGCACTGAGCGCTAAGGACTATACAGGTAAATCGGATACCCACTGGTGACAAATTCGCGTAATGAACTAATCTGACTCGGAGGCACCAGGATCCTCATTACAGCCCACCAGATTATCAAACAACTTCATGAAGTAGGGTTTTAAACAGGATGCAATAGTGAAAAAAGTGAAAACTATCAGTGTTACTAAAAACCATGTGAAAATTGAATAATACGTACAATGGTATCCATTGCTTTGATTTAATACTACAGCAAAATCATCAAAACTATGCCGAAGTTTGACTATTGACTACAAACACAATATTAATGATGGACAGTAACTAGAAGTGGAATCCAGGAAGCGCGTTTCGTCCTATTTGGGACTCGTCAGCTAGATTTACCTGTAAGCGATGCTCCCACTAGGACTCAAACTCGGGGGACGATCGCTGCAAACGCCAGGGCATTATCCGCTAGACTAACAAGCCACAATAGCCACTTCTTTTGTGACTCGTATAGTTTTAATGTTGTTGCTTGAGTGGACCGAATTAATTGGTCTCTATTGGCATATGAGCTCCTGCGCGGACGCCTCAATATTGCCTTACAAGCAAAAATATTAAAACTATACCAGTTGCACAAGAAGTGGCTATTGTGGCTTGGTGGTCTAGTGGATAACTGTTGTGATGCCCCAGTCTTGTATTAAACGTTGTTATTGTTCTGAACATTTTAACGTGTCATTCCGACATTATTTTTACGCTATGACTAATAGCCTATTTCTGCCTCGATTGTAATGCAGTTTGCTGATTGGTTAACTTTTACTCTTATTATGCGAATTTCTCCAATTGCGGACAAGGTCATTTTTCATGTGTGTACTTATCCACGTGTTTTGGATTGATTCATTGTTATTATATTATATTCTCTGAGTAGTACACTCTCCCATCAGCCAGCTTCGGTCTTCTCTCTATTCGTCCCGGATTTGCAGTCAGTGTCTCTTGCGTATTAAGTTAGCTGTCAGCTAAGCGCGCGTATTATGTTCGTTCTGGAACACATACATATACCATTAGCGCTTCGAAACCATAACAATAATGCTCTGACGTTTGCAGAGATCGGTCCCGAGTCCGAGTCCTACTGGGAAGATCGTTCACTGGGAAGCAGGTATATCCAGCTGACGAGTCCCAAATAGCACGAAACGAGGGTCTTAGATTTCCCTGTTAGTCACCATACACCATTAATATATAGCTGAAACACAGACAATACTAAGGAGTTCGCGCAGGAGCCCATATGCCAATGGAGACCGATCAAGTCGATCTACTCAACGACGGGATAATGCAAGCAACAACATTATAAACCACAATGACCGGAAACTTGTTCATCATTTTGATAGTTAACAAATTATGATGACACAATATCCTGCTTTTCTTCTCTTGCAACTTCAATTCGTAAGTTATTTACAAACTAATCTATGAAGTATAGACAATATATATATTGCATCGTTTTAGTCTAGAAGGGTATATCAATACTTATTCTTTGTTTTAAACGCTTCAATTTTCACATGAGGAGATTAGTAGCAATTGCAATACATACTCGCAAAATATTGGCTAGCTTACTAGTTACGTCACAAGACACACCTTTCTTGGAAGGCGGTACTCGTCACTGTGCTAGCAATAATGACTCTAGATATCAAGTATGCATCTGTGAACGACTAGTAATGATTTCGCTGTATAACCTTTAAAGTCATTTTAGTGAGCATATTTGAATGGTTCTTAAAGTACAGTTACATTACCAACGGAAAACTTATTTCATTACATAGAAAATTCTCGTTTAGATATCTAGATATGATAGTATTTTATTTCTTGGTATCCAGTTGGTAAGAAGCTTAGATTGAACTCTGAAACGAAGTATATATAAAAAGCCAGCATCAATAGGTCAATCCATCTAATTCTTTAGTGCCGTACCCCTCCCATACAAACGGAACTTGGTGAAATCCTAAGCATATCGAGCCACAGTCGTTCGCACTGACGATCCTATAGAGAAAGACCTACTTAGTAGGAACAGCTAGCTACCCACCAAAGTTTGCAACTAAGCGCATCAATTTTACGAAGGTTAGGTCAAGAATGCTAAGTTTCAAAGAAGCAAATTCTCTTGAGACTGGAATTCAAGAGTGATGTTGTTGGTAAAATTACCGCACAATGCATAAAAGGAGTCCTACAAAGAGTACTTCCAACAGCTAAATTGTCTCATCTTCTACAACTGCTCAATTTTAAGTGCAAGAAACAGAGGCAAAATGTCTGATCCTGCCACTTGCATTTGCATTTATCAGTTTAATTGCTCCTGTGGAGCTAGTTACACTGGCCATTCATCACCGAATTCCTGAACCCCACCAATCATGGTTGAATAAGGGACAGATTAGAACAATAAAGGGCTTCATACTTACACACTTAGGTAACATTAGACATCAAGAAGATACCAGCAAAGAATTTAAAATTACTCATCACATAAGAATTAATTTAGCACATGGATTATGCATTAGTATACTTCGAATAGCAGAGGCGATTGCAATCCACATTTAAAAACCTAATCATTCATTAAAGTGACTGTCAACATGATGTGATTCAGTATTACTTTTTACCCATCTTCCCTCTTTTTCCATTAACACGCATTCGCTTTTTTATTCTTACATATTGATTGTTTATGAGTGACCAGTTGGGAAAAAACATTCCGCTTAGTTTACCAGTTACCATACGATTTGCCAAAGAATAACCTGTTTCACATTATTAGAATTACCATTTTTAACGCCGCATAATTACTCTGTTGATTAATTGCATCTTGATTACTCAAAAGCCAGTCTAAATAAGAAAAAGCCTGTTAGCTTTTTTCATCCGAAATACGCTGAATGACATCATGTGTATTAAGACGGTAAAGAGACCGGATAATTATGACGGTTGCATTTGATAAGGTGTGTTTTAAAGTCATATGACCTTTTCATCCATGAAGTCACAGTTCGCGAACTCATCACATGGATGATATCACTTCCCTAGAAGATTTAGTAAATACTCATTAGTTAAAAATGTCAGTGACTGAATTCGTCAATGTTAGATAGAGAAGAAACTCAACAAGTCCTTTCGTATCTGTACAGTTTCCACCGTTTAACAAGCGTAGTTCGTTGAACAAAGACGGTCACCGGAGAATGTCGTAATAACCTTCGCCATAAAATTTAATGTAAGATATTCCCTTTTCTGAGTGAAATTAAAGACTGCAATACTTTTATGACCATTAACTCACTTGTATATTCATTGAAACAAGATTCAACAATACTCCATTAAGTGGAGATCGTAATATTTGTGGTCTAGGTTGAAGAGGCATATTTTTATACTCTGAATCTGTATAAAGACGAAGACAAACACCAGCTGCTTCACGTCCTGCACGACCTGATCGCTGCCATGCTTGACTTTTCGAAATCCACTGGACACGAAAACATTCAAAACCTGTTTTAGGATCCCAATCCCTATAACATAATTAACATGAAAAGTAGCTTATTAGCTTACATATCAAGCAAACGACAATTAAAATAAAAGACAAAAATAATCCAACTAAAATTCAACTGTAGATGATTTCAATATCTAAAAAAGGATAGAGTGTGAAAAAAAGCAGACCTGACTGTACATACCATGATGAAATACAAGAACACGAATACATATGATACCAATGAGGCATACCAACATAGAAATGACAGACGGATACACAAGTGGACAGATGAAATCAACGTAGAACCTCGTACACAGATGCATAGGTTCAATTCACCACATTTCACAGTAGTATAAAAAGAACACGTGGATAGAAAAAGACTGATATTAAAGTAAACAAAGTTGTGTGAGAGAATAAACAATTTGAAGATAACAGTTATTACAAATATTCAAACTTAAGAAGACACCAAGGAGTGAATACATCTGCGTCATTGTGATCGATTCCCAATCATGTCACCAAGAGTCGTCAACCACTGATTTCTTTCGTCTCAGGGACCACAACCAGGAGGTCCACATCTCTCGAAATGACTCCGACCAACAGTAAGACACTTCATTAACTAGTATCCCATCTTAACCCAACCCCCCTGACTAGTGCGTATATAACAAATAGGAGAAAAGCGTTCATAATCATCTATCACTGCATTCCACAAAAAATTTCATGTGGAGTTCGTATTTATATATTACTTAAAGCCTAGACTATGGGAATTACAGAAAATAAACATATTGTGTACACAAAACGTTTGCACAATCCCTATCTCTCCCTTGGTCAGAAAAACTAAAAACACGAATACAAAGTATAAATCCTTCGAGCCCTTTTCTTTTCTTCACCCTTTTCATATGCGTGCTTTATTTATTTGAACGTACTTCATTCTCAAATAGTATGTTATCTTTATGTTCAAATTTTTTATCTAAGTGAATTGTTCAAATATCCGTAGTATTATTATCATCATTATTACTATTCAATTTCCCTTGGGTTCCTAGTGGAACATAGGGCTTCAGTAGCACGTCTCCATTTCACTCTCTTCTCCGCAGTCTTTTGAACCTGGCTACATGACTGACTGACTACCCACAAGGTTTCATTTCTTCCTCACATGATCTCCTCTATGTCATCCTCGATTCGGACGCCCAACTCGTCGTCTCCCATCCCGGCTCCACTCGAGGGCCTGGCCTGGCGCGTGATGTCCCCAAATGGTTTTCTCAGTATGCTCAGTCCAGTCCAGTCCAATCCATTTCCACTTCCTTCTGCATATTTGTTGGACGATAGGTTGTTGGTTGGTTCATTGCCAGGCCAGAGTTCCTTGTTGCTTATTCTTTCTGGCGACCCGATTTTCAGTATCGAGCCAGAGTAGGCAGCTGTTGATGAATGTTTGTAGTTTGTTGGGAATGCTCTTCGTGACGTGCCAAGTTTCTTAACCATATAGAAGCACTGACTTGACGTTAATGTTGAAGATCCGGATATTGTTCACGCTTTATGCTGAGTGCAGTAGATCTCCACACTGATTTCAGATTGATGAAGACCTGTCTTGCTGTTTTTCTGATCCTGGCTTTGATATCCTCATCAGTGGCGCCGCCTTTAGTTGAAACGATGCTGCCTTGTCTAGGTAGGTGAAAGAGACTACTTCCTCCAGGTTTCTCCCGTTAATAGTGATTGGTGCTTGTTGTTGATGCCGTTGTTGATTGCGTATCTTCATCACCTCTGTCTTCTCTACGTTCACCTGAAGGAAGTCTCATCTTCGCTGTTTCTTCTGTCAACTTGTTGGTTTTTGCCTGTCGATCTTCAAGCTAGTGCGACATTAGACATAAATCATCATCGGCGGCGAAATCTTCTTGAGTCTTTTCATCGGTGCAGCCAGCGTATACCCATCTTCTGGCTCCTCACGGTTTGCTAATGATCCAGTCGATCATGGGTGATAGTAGGCAGTCTATAGTACTGTGCAATCTCACTATTCTTATCATCACTGGGATAAATAGTAAGATTGTTATTGATACTGGGCGATGATTAAAAGTCAAATGAAAACCTGGAACGAGGTAGGATTCGAACTAGCGGTCTTCAGGCCACTGGACCTACCAAGCGAGCTCAGAGACCCAGTTGCTGACGATATCTCAATTTCAACCAGGCAAAATCGTTGGTGGTTGGGCTGGCAACTCGGTCCAGACTTTTATTTCACCTACAACTATCCCCCAGTATCAATAATAACAAGTCTGCTAAATCACAACGACCTTAGATAGTCAAAATAATGACTAAAATTATTATTACTATTAAGATTACTATGTGGATAGCTGCTATCTATGTATTTTATTACCATAAGCCCAAGAATTGAATATGATTGGTTTAATGTTTTGTATATAAGTAAAATTATGCATATTATAGTCAAACCTGACGAGTTAATTGAAAACAACGTTGTTAGGCTACTGAAAATGTACACATTCTTCGGAAGACAACTTACTTCACTTTCACGCGTCCACAATCGATCACATAACGTACGCCTGGAATTGTGATAGAAGTTTCTGCCAAATTTGTACTAACAATCACTTTACGAGCATTCTAGATATATAAAAATCATATACGGATTCATTTGGTAAGAAAATGCCACAGTGATTTTTGAATATCGAAAAGTTGTTACCAAGTTTCTCAGTTGATTAGGTTACCTTACGAAGTTTTATAGTTCAATAGTTTATAGTGAAAACCCGATTGGAAATATTAATTTTCAAGTTTTTACATTGTTTGATTTCAATCTTAGGATAAATGGGCGTCACAGTTCCTTGTCACCTGATACCATAAGGAAGTGGATAAAATCACTAAGGCTTGCGGCGTTACAAGTCAGTTAGTTGGTTGTGATGTGACAGAAGTAGGGAATATGGACCATTGGATTCCAACCCAATGACTCAATGGTAACGTGCTAGCCACGGAGCCTGAGAGTCTTGGGTTCGATCCCTGGTGGAGTCATGGATGCGCACTGCTGAGGAGTACCATACTAGGACGAAACACCTGTTTAGTGCTCCCAGGTCTCTACTGTTTCTCCAACTGATATTAGTCTATGATGAATACCAACATGAAATCAACAAATAACTCCCCACAAACCTCCAAATTAAACAAGTAAAAGAGGTAGAGAACTGGAGTATCCTTTTAGGCATTTTAACATAATGATACTGGGTGATGACTGAAGGTGAAATGAAAATCTGAGCCAGAGCAGGATTCGAACCAGCTGCTTTCTGGTTGCCGACTCGGCTTTCTACCAGCTGAGTTATAAGACTCAACAGCTGACGAGATCCTAATTTTATTTCAGTCACCATCAACCAGTTATACAGAGGGGCACTAGTTCGAAACCTGTCGAAACCGAGATTTTTATTTCACCTTCAACCATCACCCAGCATCAACAGTATGAGTCTAGTAAACTATGGTTATCTCAGATAATTAAATTGATAATCAATGTGTATATGTGTCAGTGAATGGCCGAAATTACAACTGAACCAAACCATTTATTTTAATGGACCTTAAGAGGAAAACTTCTCAAATTCACCATAATCCGAGTGGTTACAGTTGAAGTAATGCATCATCTTATTGTAGAAAGGTGAAGGTTTGAAATATGAAAGGAAACGAAAATACTTCAAACGTGAACTCAATTAACTAACTACAGTACTTTCTATTAGATTGTATCAAATGAATTCAACTTAATTCATGTATTTCTCAACCATGGGGAAGCAGATTGTCACCAGACTATATTTAGACCTATAATCAATGAGAAAATGAAATTACCAACCACTCAGATACTGCATAATGTCACTGAATTCAAGATTAACTAGTGACGATATTCAGTTCAGAAAAGGCTACAAAAGTAAGAAAATGATGATCAGCTACAGCGCAGTATCCCGAAAGATCTTTCGACAATCTAGTGACTACTAAATACCAAATTACGATTTGTTGTTAAAGCTGGAAAGGTGGTGTCTTCCGTAGCATCCAGTTAATAATCATCAACATAGAACATGCCATTACTGTGTAACGGTTCAACACATCACGCATGATACAGAATTTAAATTGATCAATTAAATAGTTTAAAAACCTAGCAAGATAACTAGTTCACTAGTTACTAACCGGTCCCAAGTCCAGATAAAGAGGGAACCTTCGGCATAAGGCTAGCAACCCTACCCAGGAAAACCAATCTAACCGCCAAAGAAACTTCAAAGCACAAACTAAATATCTTTTAAAAATTAAACATATTCCTCACTGGAATCGGAGAGGCGAAATGATACCGGTTGGTGAAAGCCTTCGGGAAGCCAATTGGTCGATGTGTCTTCGCCTATCTCGATGAAAGCAAAAGTAAACATGGGGACACGGAATGTCCGAACAATTTTTGAACCTACCAAGTCTGCCCAGAATGCAAAACAGATCAGAAGGTATAGCATAGAAGTGCAAGGCTGGGAATCTGCAAAAGCAGATGGAATGGAAGTGAACTCTCCCAACCGTTAACTGGAGAGTCAATAATCTATTCCGATATTGTCACCCAGACGACAACCACGAGCATAGCACATTGAGTTTTCGAGTGGCTATCATGATGTCCCCCTCCTAACAACATCTAAGGCTCTCTCTCATGCAGTGGGAACCAATCTCCTCCTCAACGATCAGGAATATGACAGCAGGGTTCAACTCAAAAGGAAAGAAAGTCACAATCATACAATGCTACGCTACGCACCTACAAAAAATGCGAATGGAGAGAAGAAGCAGCAATTCTACAAAAAACTGCAATCTTTCACCTACCTAGACAAGGCAGCATCGTTTCAACTAAAGGCGGCGCCACTGATGAGGATATCAAAGCCAGGATCAGAAAAACAGCAAGACAGGTCTTCATCAATCTGAAATCAGTGTGGAGATCTACTGCACTCAGCATAAAGCGTGAACAATATCCGGATCTTCAACATTAACGTCAAGTCAGTGCTTCTATATGGTTAAGAAACTTGGCACGTCACGAAGAGCATTCCCAACAAACTACAAACATTCATCAACAGCTGCCTACTCTGGCTCGATACTGAAAATCGGGTCGCCAGAAAGAATAAGCAACAAGGAACTCTGGCCTGGCAATGAACCAACCAACAACCTATCGTCCAACAAATATGCAGAAGGAAGTGGAAATGGATTGGACTGGACTGGACTGAGCATACTGAGAAAACCATTTGGGGACATCACGCGCCAGGCCAGGCCCTCGAGTGGAGCCGGGATGGGAAACGACGAGTTGGGCGTCCGAGTCGAGGATGACATAGAGGAGATCATGTGAGGAAGAAATGAAACCTTGTGGGTAGTCAGTCAGTCATGTAGCCAGGTTCAAAAGACTGCGGAGAAGAGAGTGAAATGGAGACGTGCTACTGAAGCCCTATGTCCCACTAGGAACCCAAGGGAAGAATAATGGTAATAATAATAATAAATAATAATAGTTTAAAAGGTAACTTTTAACGTCATTCGCTTTTTCACGTGGAATAACACTTGTTTTGAATCGACTAAGAAATAAACTTACATTATCACAAAAGTTCAACGCTTTCAACTGTTGAACTTGGGGTAGGGATGAAAAAAAGGGGAATACTACAAGTTGGCGGTTTTTTGAATCAACATTTGAACTTGCATGATCAATATTTGATGAATGAAAGAGTTGTTTTATAAGCGAACAACAACGCATAATCTCTTCTTCACCAGTTAAGAAAATTAAAATACCACGATCCAGAGGACAATTTTTCGTTTTATGAATCTATTTAAAAAAGTCACGAGAATAACGCTTACAAGTGACATTATAATATACACTAAAGCATCACAGTTTACATTGTAAGTAGTAACCTATAGTCTTATGTGTGTGGTGAACAACTAACTTTATGATATGCATATCATGAAGTAACATCAGAATTTAAATCAATTTTTTCTTTAATACTTGGTCCAGTTAAGCTACAGTACTTGGGAGGTTTGTTTACTGATGTATAGTCAAATCAGGAATTTCCATCAGCATTAAACCATACTACGCACAGGTGGTTATTCATCACGGTTCACTTACTATTTGAGAAGTATTAGTACTCAAAACACAACGTATACATTGCCTTTTCACTGTGCAAACATCTTCATTGGATATAATCACGTTGAAAACTACAGATCCCCAAAATGACTATCATCCCGAGTGTTTTGCAACTTTGAGTGGAATACATTCACCAACATTGTTCACATGTGTCCAATAGGCGATGAACCACAGCTGTTGTATGAGGGTTAATGATACTATCTGGCTGCTCAAACCTCGGTAGGTGGAGTGGAGCTTCATACCTATGACCAATTGGTTGAAAGTCATCTCCGTAAACCAATAAGCAACAGGTCCAATCTGCCACTTACCTTGCACACTTTCAAAATATTTTTCACTAGTTTTACTGTTCTTCTCCCATCAGTCTTGCATACATTTTGATTATACTTACCATTTGGCATGTTGCAAAGACATTGTAAATACAGTTAAATAAAAAGGAAGGTCGATTTGCGAATTATTTCTAAACTGCACGATCCATGCCGACATTTCTCACAACCGAGTATTCTTCCAAATGCTCAGTTGTCGTGTTAATAGGGTTTTCATTGGAAATGTCAAAGAGTGGACCATGCAGTTTGTGGATAGTTTATTTAAGGTATATCGATCCATCCAAGTCTGCTAGTTAGATTCAACTGGTGTGGACAGCACGGCTTCATGGGCTAAATTTGTCCAGGTACATTATTGATGAGCTCGGTCCAGAAGAGGTGAAACGGTCATTCAGTGTTCAGACCACTCTGAACTGGTTAGCGAAACCTACAGACCAGTATGAGCAGTTTCTAGCTACTCACGTTGTACAGTAGTATATTTTGTTACATACAAACAACTATGTGGTATTCTTCCTTTCTAGCCAACAGTTGTCTTCTCTTGTTATTTAACTGAGGTTGAGTCGAAATGTGGATGCGACTAGTCAGTCACTATTCAGCCAGATTTCGTATCAAGTTAATTATGACTATCCTTAACACACAACAGGTAGACACCGTTTGAAGGTGTAACATTGGTTTAGGCACTTGACTATGAACCACTGGTGTCCCTGGTTCAAACCCACTATGGCCTAAGAAATCGAACAGTATCACTGGTATTAGACGGTTTAGTTGAGTTGGGTTGAAAACGGCAGGCTTTTTGTATAAGATTCTGGAGACGGCAGAAAAGAGTAGTCAGATTACGTGGGTAGCATGGTATGTGCAAGTTGTAAAAATGCATTCCTATTTCTTCTCTCGACCATGAACCTTTCTTACTTATGATTATAAACTGTATGTCTTCTATCAACTTATTTTACACTCCATCTTGATGGGTGTCGCTATCTGACGTGAAATGAAATAACCTGGGTTGAAATATTAACGTTAAGAATTTGTACATCATCGTATAAAATCTTACTTCCACGTCTATGAATGGTGCTGGCAAATATACACTCTAATGAAACATGTAAATATTAACTCCCAGTAATTTATTCCAGCTGACCAAACGGAACACTTTCATCACCATTATTCTAGTGCTTCAGATTATTTGGTTGGTATATTTACTGCTTGCATCTAGTTTGCTCAGATCAGTGAGAGATAGAAGATAACAGATGACGAAAATAAGATATTATTATTGGATAGCGTGGTTAGCTAACCGACCAGTTGTTTACACTACTTGTCTGATTGTTATTTATTATGCTGTTAGTAAAGAAGTGCCATATGAAAGGGAAGTGGAAAGTGAAGAAACGTGTTAATCATTCTATTTACGAAACTACTCGGTCGCCTAGAATGATTGCATTATCCTACTTTTCATGGGTGAAATCAATCATTTCACTTTTAAGGTGGGAAAATACAAGGACAATAAGCATCAAACTGTTTGCTATTGTACACGGTTGGGTGGGGGAAATTGAAGGAGTAATGAAGTAGGTGAATTTTGCATACGAGACGTAGCCAAAATATGCGACACTAATCCCGTGGAAGGTTGATATTAGAGGAAAATCAGGTGATTCAGAAAATTACTACTAGGCTGAGATATAACATATTGTGATTAGATGATCTGGTTATTCAATAGGGTTTCATATTGATACCGATGCTCACTAGCGTACATGCATGTGGACAAAATATACGCATATGCTAGCTAGAAGCCAAAACAATAGATTAGTTATCCTAACTTTGTATACTAACTGAAGAAACATCTAAATAGATCATTTTATGAGCTCCATTACATGCCTTGTATTCAAATCAACAGTAGGCAAGAATATGATACAGTAGACAGTAAGGCAGTCTTACATATATGGCTAAGCAATCATTGGTTGTCTTATGACCTTCGTTCTTTATTAATTGGAGATTTTCATTTGCATAATTTCTATTCACATTATTTTGAGTTTCATTCACTGTAAGGGAGCAATAGCTCCATTTGAGTAGATGAAGCAATATTATAAATTTGTCAATATCCTTGATCACTAACCACTTCTGGGTTTTACTGCATAACAAAATATACTTACTCTAAAACAAACAGAAGCGGCATCAGCCACATAATCTGTTAAGGATTGAGAGACATTCAGTATCTTGATAGGATGTAATCGGCCCTCAATATAGACAACCTGAGTATGATCTGGACCGAGAAAATTTAAGAAAGGAGTTGGGTCAATCGTAGCTGACATTACGATAATCTGAAAAAAGGGTCAAAATAGGAAAGAACAAAGTCAACTCAGAAAAATGAAAACTACTGTGCACTAAATATATTACCGATAGATACTAGTACACTGATAATTGCTTAGGAAACAACTTTCGAGATGTTCTGATAGTAGATTTCACATTTGTCGACACTTTGCTAAGGTACATCTTTAACATTAAGGCAGTTAACTATTCCTCTCATCCTTGATAATGAGTCATCTAATGCCATAACGATACGTTACGAGTAGGTAGTAATTTTTATGACATCGAATAACTGTATCTGTAAGTCAGGTAGGATATTAGTCAATTTAGAGTCGAGCATAATCTTTCCGGTTTAAAAACAAAGTGTCTACATGAAAAATGTTGTACCAACTACCTTCAAATACACTTTACCGAATATCCAAACAACTTCATTTATTCCTTATACTGTACATCTCGTTGTGTTACATTACTTTTACCCGCTGAGGCAATTACGCACTTTATGTACGACGGCCGACCATACACCACAATATACAATGTTAACTAAAGTACGATTAAGTTGCGAAAATCTTAAACTAGGTGATATGTAGATATAACACCAAGCCATGCAGTTTGACTATTGATGTGAACAATTTAAAGAAGTGTAGTATGGGGTGGGCATGATCATCAAAATCTGTACCTACCAACTGCAGACGCTTTGGCTAAAGTAGATGATAATCGTGATGTGTTCCTGCTTTATCTTCACTTACATTGTAACATTACACAGCTGTATCCCATTAGTCTCCCTTCTTCTTCTCATAACCTTGTCTTTCTACTTATTGACCTTAACCTCAATACAATGTGAAGTATAGAGAGTTGGAACAACAAACAGTTATACTAAATCATGACAACTAAGTTGCAAATGTTTTCGTGTTAAAATAATGTGAAACAGGAAACAGGTTTCGTCAAAATATTTGAATTCATTCGATTTTTATTGGCTGTAACCCTTCACATAAATATTAACTTCAAAATCGAACACAGTCTTTCACAAATACGAAATTATGCATAAATATCACATCATAAGAAGTCAGGTGGACAAAACAAAGAGAAACCTTTAAAAAAATTGCACTAGTTAGAGGTGACGCGCTTTATTACAACAATGCCGTAAAGTTAAATATCAAAATGCATTCAACGAACACGTGGATGTGCAAGCGATAGGTGAATATGCACGCATATTATACGAAGGTTGATGATACTCTTGACAGACCAAACCTCCTAAGGAGGGGTGAACTTTGAAGTTCGCGAGTTTAAACACCACTCAACCTACCTAGGTTTCGGCAACAATTAGTACTATTAGCCTTCACACAATAGGCGGATGATTGCCTAACGCATCAATAGTTTAAAAACCTAGCAAGATAACTAGTTCACTAGTTACTAACCGGTCCCAAGTCCAGATAAAGAGGGAACCTTCGGCATAAGGCTAGCAACCCTACCCAGGAAAACCAATCTAACCGCCAAAGAAACTTCAAAGCACAAACTAAATATCTTTTAAAAATTAAACATATTCCTCACTGGAATCGGAGAGGCGAAATGATACCGGTTGGTGAAAGCCTTCGGGAAGCCAATTGGTCGATGTGTCTTCGCCTATCTCGATGAAAGCAAAAGTAAACATGGGGACACGGAATGTCCGAACAATTTTTGAACCTACCAAGTCTGCCCAGAATGCAAAACAGATCAGAAGGTATAGCATAGAAGTGCAAGGCTGGGAATCTGCAAAAGCAGATGGAATGGAAGTGAACTCTCCCAACCGTTAACTGGAGAGTCAATAATCTATTCCGATATTGTCACCCAGACGACAACCACGAGCATAGCACATTGAGTTTTCGAGTGGCTATCATGATGTCCCCCTCCTAACAACATCTAAGGCTCTCTCTCATGCAGTGGGAACCAATCTCCTCCTCAACGATCAGGAATATGACAGCAGGGTTCAACTCAAAAGGAAGGAAAGTCACAAGACCCCACTCCAGTTGGCGACATCAAATTCTAATGCGTGGGGTGACATGAATGCCAAACTGGGAGCGGACAACACAGGAAGAGAACTTATCATGGGCTGAGAGGCACTCGGTGAAATGAACGAGAATGGAGAACTGTTCACAGATTTCTGCGCATTCAACGAGTTGGTGATTGGAGGCAGTGTGTACAAACACAAGGATATTTACAAAGCAAGCGACATGGATTTGATTTCACCAGACAACAGGACATACTAAAATCAGATCGACTTCATCTCAATCTCAAGAAAGTGGAGACGCAGCCTACTGGATACAAGATCAAGAAGGGGAGCAAATACAGGCTCACACCGCTCACTATCTAGTGCAAGCAACCTTCATAATCAAGTTGAAAGCCTTCAAAGAATCTGCTGATAGATCACAATTTACGTTCAACATCCAGAAACTGAAGGACAAAACTACAAAAGACATCTTTACGTCAGCCATCAGGATAAAATGGGAGACATTGAGAACAATCCCTGAAGGAACCTGCGTGGAAAAACACTGGAACTCTTTGGGAGAGATGTGGAAAGAAACCTGTATAACCATTAGGAAGGAATAAACAGGACAGGGAATGCATCTCAACGGAGGAATGGGAACTGATAGAGGAGAGGAAGATGGTGAAGCAAAAGATAAACCAGTGCAAGAATGAACAACGAAAAGGTGAACTGAATACAGCCTATAAAACACTGGACAATAAAGTGAAGAAGGGTGCACGCAAAGACAAGAGACACTTCTACGACACAATGGTAGGTGAAGCAGAACAGGCTACAGGTAGAAGAGACCTGACAACACTATATCAAATAACCAGGTTACTGTCTGGGAAAAGATCAACGCAGACGAAACCAATGAAAGACAGCGAAGGAAACTTAGTTGCCAAAGATGAGAAATAAAGGAAACAATGGCCTGACCACTTCAAAAAACTCTTGAATCGACCACCACCTACAACTCGTTCAGAAATACCAACAGCAGCCCAGTCACAGAATTACCGGTGGACACAAGCTCTCCGACAAAAGCCGAAGTCCTGAACGCCATAAAGTTGCTGCAAGCCGGGAAAGCAGCAGGACCAAATGGAATTCCTCCAGAAGCACTGAAAACAGACGCAGAGATAACGCCGGACACCATCACACCGCTATTGCAGAAGGTTTGGAAGGAAGGAAAGGTACCTGACGATTGGAAGAAGGGCTATCTGGTCAAACTCCCGTAAAAGGGGGACCTAAGTCTTTGCAAGAACTGGCGCGGAATCATGCTGCTGTCCACCCCAAGCAAAATATTATGCCGCATCATCCTAGAGACTAAACAATGCGCTGGATTCCAAATTACGGCCGCAACAAGCTGGTTGGCTGGCTGGCTGGCTGGCTGGCTGGCTGGCTGGCTGGCTGGCTGGCTGGCTGGCTGGCTGGCTGGCTGGCTGGCTGGCTGGCTGGCTGGCTGGCTGGCTGGCTGGCTGGCTTCAGGACGAACAAATCATGTGGGGATCAAGTTGCAACGATACGCATCATCACAGAACAGAGTATAGAACGGCAGTCAACTCTCTACCTCAACTTTATCGACTTTGAAATGGCCTTCGACAGTGTCAACCAAGAGGTAATTTGGAAACTGCTTCAACTCTACAGAGTACCACAAAGCTTTATCAACCTCATTCAACAACTATATGAAGACCCTACATGCCAAGCGATTCATAATGAAAAGCTCAGTGACGCCCTGAAAGTGAAAACAGGAGTAAGACAGGGTTACTGTCTACTATCACAGATGATCTTCCTGATTGTGGTCGACTGGATCATGTAGCAAACCGTGAGGAGCCAGAAGATGGGTATACGCTGGCTGCACCGATGAAAAGACTCAAGAAGATTTCGCCGCCGATGATGATTTATGTCTAATGTCGCACTAGCTTGAAGATCGACAGGCAAAAACCAACAAGTTGACAGAAGAAACAGCGAAGATGAGACTTCCTTCAGGTGAACGTAGAGAAGACAGAGGTGATGAAGATACGCAATCAACAACGGCATCAACAACAAGCACCAATCACTATTAACGGGAGAAACCTGGAGGAAGTAGTCTCTTTCACCTACCTAGACAAGGCAGCATCGTTTCAACTAAAGGCGGCGCCACTGATGAGGATATCAAAGCCAGGATCAGAAAAACAGCAAGACAGGTCTTCATCAATCTGAAATCAGTGTGGAGATCTACTGCACTCAGCATAAAGCGTGAACAATATCCGGATCTTCAACATTAACGTCAAGTCAGTGCTTCTATATGGTTAAGAAACTTGGCACGTCACGAAGAGCATTCCCAACAAACTACAAACATTCATCAACAGCTGCCTACTCTGGCTCGATACTGAAAATCGGGTCGCCAGAAAGAATAAGCAACAAGGAACTCTGGCCTGGCAATGAACCAACCAACAACCTATCGTCCAACAAATATGCAGAAGGAAGTGGAAATGGATTGGACTGGACTGGACTGAGCATACTGAGAAAACCATTTGGGGACATCACGCGCCAGGCCAGGCCCTCGAGTGGAGCCGGGATGGGGGACGACGAGTTGGGCGTCCGAATCGAGGATGACATAGAGGAGATCATGTGAGGAAGAAATGAAACCTTGTGGGTAGTCAGTCAGTCATGTAGCCAGGTTCAAAAGACTGCGGAGAAGAGAGTGAAATGGAGACGTGCTACTGAAGCCCTATGTCCCACTAGGAACCCAAAGGACAAATGATAAAATAATAATGAACAACGCACTTACTTTCAGCAATGGAAGAGGTTTTTTATTTTGAATATCTTTCCTTAACCCATTCAACTGATTGTTTGCAAGTTTATACTGAGAACTATACCACAGGGACTGGGAGTTTGCGCGTCTTTTAGCCGCTGATAAAACCACGCCGAATAAAATGTCAGTGTTCAAACTGCGTTCATGTGCTTCATCCAATATAATGAAATTGTAACGTGAAAGGTCGGGGTCAAGAATAGCCTCACGTAAGAGCATACCATCAGTCATGTATTTTAGATGCGTTGTCTTTTCACTTGAAACATCTTCGAATCTCACACAGTAACCAACTGGTCCGATACCAACAGGACCACGACCAACTTCATCTGCAACACGCAGTGCTATGCTTATGGCAGCGACACGCCTGGGCTGTAGCGGCAAGAGGGCAATAGGAAGGACCGTAAGATAATCAAAATGTATTTTTATTAACTAATGAAATCAGTAAGCAATAAATAGTTCCTTGAAACTGCCTATAACAGCAAGAACAGGATATATTAAACAAACACCGAAACTAAATGTTTTATAAATAGGATTTTCTTCAGAATACGATAGAGGAAATTCTGAAAAACTGACTAGAAGTCAATGAAAAGTCGAATGGGTGTCAGCTTAACAAAACAATGAACCTATTAAAATATAAAAGAGCAGAATGGCAAATTGGAAATTTTCCGAATTAACTGTCTAAACTAACAGTATTTTCTATCCCTGAGTTCTCAATTGCACGATTGATATTCTCATATGCAATTCGCACTGACACACAGCTACCAAGCAAATAAATATCATATTTGAGACTGACCCTTCTGTGACGCTTCCCAAACTGGCGTAGCACGCATAAGACGCCAGGGAAGATGGCTGCGAAAGACAGGTCGTTTTTCGGGTTTGAAACAGATTCACTACCCTAAGTAGCTAAGAACGGTAGTGAGGTGCCAGTTTGTTACAAATTTGGTAGAAACAATCGAAGATGCTGAGCAACCGTGATACGATCTTATTTTTGTCTGGTATGGAAGATAATTAACAGAAAACAGCTAGTGAAAGCTAGTTACGTGGTAGAGGTTGCAGCCCTGATGCCTGTTTCCTTATGGCTTTCAGTCAGAACCAAAGATGCGAACGATCAAGGAAAAAGAATGGCTTGAAACATCACTAGTCAACTCGGCGCCCAATAATTGCAGTCTGTATGATTTTAGTCTAGTAAAAGAAAAATGTAGCTGACAAAGGAAAGGATTTATCTGCACCTCTGCCTGCGCATTGGCAGACTGTTCAGTCTCCTTTTTTTTTTACCTTTTTTCATTCCTTACTTTATAGTGTTTTCGTATCACGTTGTGTGGAACATTGACTGGTACCAGGGTGTTTCAAATAAATAAATAAGAAGAATCGAGATACCACTCGCACTCCCGACTTTGTGCGAATTTTAAATAAATGAGAAATATCAAATATATGCTGGTTTTGAGGATCGTCTAATTCTAATTAGCAGCTAGGGCTGAGCAGGGTTATAGAACTGAGAGATATGGAGACTCATTTTAATCCTGATTCATGGGACAAGAAGACATCAGTGAATCACTCGATAGAACTGTAAGACCAATGACTAAAATGAGGCAATCAACTTGGGAAAAAAACACTGAGTGCAACGCCAAACCCAAGTTCTACGTTGATTTGTCAGTCTGTTCGCTTATTTGTCGTCTCAAAAAGTAACAATTGGTTGTATTGCAGTGGAACATCCAGTACCTAATGGAAATAAGGATCCATATTTGTACCATCAGTCAGGTACTTACAACATACTAGCTTTGTGGACCAATGTTCGAAACCTGTAGTATACGTACAATTTCTGTAGTTGTAGATCACGTACAGGCGGAGCTTTAAGATAATAGACTGTTTATAGTAAACTGGAATGCTAGATTTGAACCTTCTGATGACAGTACTGCCATTAAAATAAAGAGACAATCTTGGAACTAGACTCGATCAGAGGACATTTTTAGTTTGAAATTTCACATTGATGACATCAAAAGTCAAAATCAACGAACATAATATAAAGCGAACAAATTCTTCTTGTAAGAACAGGTTTTCGTAAGCTCTAAAATTCCCAATAAATTCCAACTAATGGATACAAAATCGCCTTTTATTAGCAGGCAAATGTTAGTAGTGTCTCTACAATAATCGGTGTTCCGTAGTAAATATTGGTTCCTAATAACTATCATTTTCAAAATCTATAAACTTGGCATGTTTGACATGCTAATTCACCAAAGCTTCACAATAAGACGACAGTAGTCACAATGCACATAACACTGATGACTGTTATAGATAAATTAATTAGTATGATGCGTGAATCTAAAAATGTTACTCTAACCTGAGTTATTGCAACAATGCCTCCAGTAGTCAAATTATTTTCATATAAAAACTGAGGGATCTGAGTAGTTTTGCCAGATCCCGTTGAACCCACGATAACACAGTGCTCACTTTTCATTATAGCACTAACCACTACATCTTTGTGTTTCCATACAGGCAATGCTTGTCGAATATGCAGGAGTTCACTACCACTTGGAGATTTCTTTGAAGTTGCTACAAAAAGAAACCTCATTATAAATTATATCGTAATTAGAGACTAACGAAGAAAACAAGGTATTACTAGTCTAAATCTTAATGTCATGATACTTAGTTCAGAAGTGTACCTCGTGTACACTTAATTGCATTACTACCAGCACTAAAGAGTATACATAAACATAGTTAGTATATTTGGGGAATACCACCTATACCAAACATAAAATGGTGAATTTCAAAATCCTTACACGGATTTATTTGTGGTCACATCCATAATAAAGTAGGTAATACTACACACCCATACAAATTAAATAAGATAGAAAAACGATGCATTTTGTAGTTCTAGGACAAATGATTGAATAGAAAGATCATAAGAGCGCAAAATAGTTGATGAAATGAGTTGTCAAACTTGATATTATCACTTTATTCAAATGTGCACCCTCCTCCTTGAGACGGGAATACTTTCCTGACCATGGAATACCCAGTATGATCAGAAATCTATGAATCTAACTTGATGACTACATATTTATTTATTGAGAACTATGGACACATTACCAGCATAGGAACCGGTATTAGTGCGTAACAGTTGAGGTTACCACATCTGACATTAACACATCAAAGTAGAAGTTAACAAATAGGAAGAAAAGGAATGAAAGTGATATTATCAAAAGCTAGGGAAGCTCTAGAACAAAGATATGATATCCTCAATTTGTTGCTCAACGTGTTACAACACTGCATCTGCACTTAACACGACTACATTATCTGCATATTCTAATTCAACTAAGAATTCTCTAACTTAGGTCATCTTTAGCGTCCACGAAATATCTGACTATCTACTAAAGGGTTAACAAACTACGCTGCAGTCCGCTTTGGCCGTCTCATAGCCAAGCAGGTATCAGACGACCGTTGAAAGTAGCTATGAAGAGATTACAGGTTTTGATCAAGAGTGTCTTCTTAGCATTGCCCAAGTGTGGTGTAATGACAGTGTTAGCAATGTCGACGTTAGGCGTAGGCACTATGCACGGAAGGTAAATCAGTCAACGAAGTTGTGAACCTTCCATCGATTGATGTTGCTCCGACAAACGTTGCAAATGCCAAGCCATTAAGTACCTCAACGTCTAATGCTAGCTGGAGTTGGATTAGGTTAAAAGACAAATACACAACACCAGACCATGAAGTCTTTGACTGATGGTTTTAGGAGCAAAGGAAGATAGATGCAGGCTGCCTTCCTAGAGTCTGTGATAGGAAAGAAATCAATAACTGGAGACTCATGACGAAATGGTTTAAAACCTATTAAAATGAGGTACGTGTATTCAGTCATTGACGCCTGCAAAAGTTTGAACATTTTCGCTAACATTCATTTTGCAAATTCTTTGTCCTTTCAGACACTTTTGTCCACTTCAATATCACCCTTTTTCTTTGTGTACTGCCATGAAGTACGACAAGTTGAATCAATGCACTTTTACGAGGATTTCAGAGTTGATTTGCTTGTCCATCTGAGATATGAGAGAATGCAAATAAGGTTAAAACACTATCAGCCGGGTCTGAAACCAACCTGTTTGGATCGGATTTACCATCACAGAATTCCAGCTAGGCATCACATGATCATGAGGCCTAGATTCTTAGACGCTACGTTGGTCAAATTTATTCCATTATGGTTATTAAAAAGGAGGTTCTCCTTCTTTAAAACTGGGATAATCGGTATTACTGCTATTCGTTAGTGGGTAGCGGTTAATACCATTATCAGTCCTTCCATTATTATTGGGTCGTTGCCGTCGAATAGATTAAAAAAATAAATTAGTATGCCCGACTATTTTTCGTTTTAGATTAATGAGTCAGCGAGATTTAGAGGCCATGCGACAATGTTTGAATCAGGTTGGCTGGTAACCAGGCGAGCGAAGGTAAATAAGGGTTAGTTGGGCCGCCATTAAGTGTTTTATATATAGCTCTATTTGCCTCCTTTCGGGGCACATTGCCAACCCATCTTAGGTTAGATTTTTTAGTTATAATCTAGCTAACTACCTAATTTTGTCTTCCTAATAGGTTTAGACAGCTACTTACTATTGTCTACTTCCATTGCAACCCATACCGTTGATACAATAGACAGAGACAATCTTACATACGTTGACAAGTAATTGCTAACTGTTTATAGATTCTTTTTTTCTCCATCGATTCACTGTACAGCATTAGCTACATGATATTTATTCATAATGTTCTGAGTTTCATACTTTATATGTAGCTTATTTAAGTCGAGATACGATTTCATTAATTTTTCATTCGTTTTCATTATCACTCCAGTTTGGATGTTGATGATACTCACGACTCCAATGGAGGTCATCGATTAAATCACCTGGTGAGTACTCATCAATTGGTCATGCCACGCCATATGTTATCAATTTTGGGTCTAAGCAACGACTATGATTTAATCAGCACGCCTGAACAACCAAACACTGATTGTCAACGACTACTTAACACTGGTTACAGTCATTGTGTAAACTTCCTGTTACTTTACATTCAAGTTTGTTCCACTCCTTATTGTCAAACACAATCAGTGGTTTGCGGAGATGACCATCAACCATTGGGTCACGGGTTACAGACCCACCCCACCTACCGAGGTTCGGGCAGCCAGGTAGTATCACTAGCCATCATACAATAGGTGAGGCTCACTGCCTACTGCACGGGTGTGCATAAGGTGGTATGGTGCGTTAAACAAACAAAATAATCAGTAACCTGGCGCACACTCGTAAAGTAGATAATGAACCTTACCTTTTGTGAGGGATAATGATACTACCTAGCTTCCCAAACCTCAATAGATGCAGTCGGTTTCGAATCCCTTGCCCATGGATTGGAAATCAAGTGCTTAAACCGATGAGGCACAGTTCCACACTCCTTATTGTGGTTGCAGCCTACAGAGATGTACTCTAGTGAATTCTCTAGCTCAGACAAGGTTGCTGAAGCCCACTGGTTTTTTCAAACCATTTTTGAGGGTCAGTCAGTCTCAGTCGATGTTTTTACAGCACAATGCAGATGGTTCCTGGTTTCCACAGGATGGATAGTATTGTCGTGTCTTGTATTCTTCAACTAACTCCCTCTAGCGGTAACTGATAGGAATTTGGTCTATTAGCGTCAACCACTGAGCTGAAGCCAGTGATTACCAAGTCAGATAATCTCCATATCTGAAATCGTTATCGGATGTAAATAGACGACTGTTAGTGCACAGTTGTAGCAGGTCTTCATTATGATATTTCCGCTCGGGTGGTAATTGGAAGGTACCATTCACATCACTTTCTGACAAGATTACCTATCATTAGTGTGCAGTGAAGTTGTCCGTCACTACAACAACAGAACGCTTATATTTATTAGAAAGATAGAATTGGATAAACGTGTCAGCCCTCAACTTTCATCGACTTTGAGGATATTTTGAACACAAAACTCAACAAAGCAGCAGAACATTGCCTGAAAATAAGGAATGATTTGGTTCGAAGGATATACTCTAATACCTAACGCTTTGCAATCGTACACTTTTAAACAGAGATACGGTGCATCACTAATTAAGGAAAATTAAGCGTCAACTTCGGTACAGAAATCCGAGATTCGTGTTGGGTTGATCTAGAGCACTGATTACTTAGGCTTAGAAAAATGCGGAGCTATTGCCCTGACAACAGAAAATCAAATCAACAAATTTACAATGACTGACAAAAACAAGGTAGAATATCCCACATAAGTGCATCGGCTTAAGGTGGCACACTTCACAATAGTACAAAAAGAGCAGCTGGACAGGAAAAAGAAGTGATATCAAAAAAGATAAAGTAGTGTGAGGGAACTAAGAGTCAGAAGATAGCGGTTAGTGCGAATATTCAGATTTAAGATGTCAAGGAGTGAATACATTTGCGTAACTGTGACCGACTTTCAGCCACATCACCAAGAGTTTTCAACCACTGATTCCTTTCGTCTTGAGAACCCCAGTTAGGCAGTCTTCATCTCCCCATACGACTCAGGCCAACGGTGAGAGACTTCATCAACTGGTGCCACGTCTTGACCTGGTCCTTCTGAACCTTCTTTCAACTTAATCTCCAGCTACACATAGAAGTAGGCAGTGTCTCGGTATGCGCAGTACATGCCCAAGCCACCTTAGACGATGAAAGCTCACAACCTCATCAATCGACTTGCCGCTCTGGTCTAGTACCCTTAGCCCGACCTCAGTATTCTTCACATAGTGATTCCACCACATGCAAGCAATGCTACGAAGACATCTATCATCAAAATCCCTTAGTCGCTTCATCTCGTCTACTTCAAACAACTGTCTAACAGCCCTACAACAAGACACAACCAACTGCAGCACAGTATACTCGTCCTTTGATACACTAGTCAGATATCTCACCATTCTGTACCAAAAGTGATGCAAGTGACAAACACGCTTTATATTCGAGCTGAGATTTCGTCAGCAACCACCCCGTTCGGTGGGCTGATGCAACTTCCCAAGTGGGTGAAGCATTCGACACATTCCACCACTTCACTCCCTCCCTACCATTAAACGCAGTATTGTAGTAGACCACTCCTGGAGCATCATCTAACACGTGTGAAACGCATACCAAATATACACATATTTCTGCTCAACACCTTCACAAGACCCTTCATTGCGTCGGCGTCTTCACCTAGCGAACACCACTGGTTGTCATCAATGTACACGATAAATGTCCATAAGCCCTGAGATACGACTGCATGGGTTCGAATGGAGAGCCGTGACTAGCGTTATATGCCTGTTTAATACTTCCTTCACAGTCAGACACTGCCACAACACCTCGTGGTCGACAGAGTGGAGTGATGTCTCTAGGTCAAGAAATATGCCAAGTGCTGGACACTGGCCGGAAGGTATGTCTGTCTTCCACAACCCGTCGGAAGATGAAAATATGATCGATGCATCCTGGATCAGGTCTGAAACCTGCCTGGTTTTCTCGAGTTCCAGTTAGGCGTCGGATAACTATAGACCCTAGGATATTGGTCAAGCTATTTCCCCTATCGTTGTCACAAGCAGATCTCTCCCCCTTCTTATAAACTGGGATGATCAGTGAAGTAGACTAGTCCAACGGCAACACCTGATTCCTATATACTACCTAGTACCTTCCTCACAATTATCAGCTGTTTCCTACCTCCACTTTGAGTGGCGAACTGTCAGGTCTTGCTGTTTTGCAACGTTTTAGGTTCGACACAGCTGATTTGTCGTTTGTAGGCGATGATTATGAACAGGCATCGCCTAGTTTTACGATCCTTTCTAGTTCTCACAGATTCATCCAGCCGAACACCATAGAGACGATTGTAAACTAGTATGCAGTCGGGAAACGCACTTCCTGCCCTACAGCTCAATGCTATACCTACACCAGTAAGTTCACGAGTGCTAACCACTGGGCCCTCGGATACTCTTAAGGTAAGATTTGAAGATTCACCGCACTGGTCAGGTGAAATTAATTTAATAATCACACTTGAGTCATGTAAACGTGTCTCAGAGACAGCATACATGCATGGCTAGAGGTTGGAGAGTTCTGGTGAACGAGGCTTGCGGTCTGATTCGGTATACAGTTCGAACGTTGAAAGCTCCTACATGAAATCGATGACGGGGTGAAATTTCGATAGCTTTGATCATTGGCAATGGCTGCAGGGTGGTAGGTTGGGTAGAGCATTACAGGATTAACATTAGTATCAGGAGGCAGTTGAGGAATATAGGTTGTGTTTGATTGAGTCGCGTTTAATGCTGGAAGCGTGTAGGCTTTTGGTACTCCTCGGTTCCCCACACCATGGAAGACCAGTTCTTCTTAAGGTACCTGAAGAATAAGGGAAATTCTGTGACCGCAGACTTCAAAGGACATCTGCTTAAGGCCGGTCACACACCGCCTTTTGGCAATTTTGAGATTTCAGTGTTTTCCTCTTGAATCCGACTATGAAGGCTTGTTGCTGGCATCGGGGTGTCACGAAGGGTGGGAGTGTTATTTTTGTGGCTGACCTTTTATAACCCCCGTTGCCGTTGAGAAAGGAGCATCAGCGTGGCACTGTTGGTCATTCAACGGAAACACCTTACTGCTACCACACCCCATCCAGCTAGAAGCAGTACAACTTCGCTCTGAGACCCCCATCGTAATGTAGTGATTTAAACTGCAACGATAACTGCTTTTAGTCTCGCCACTATCCATCAGACCTTTCTGGTATGGTAGGACCTCTAGTGAGTAATCGTTCCAGCCAGTGTAGCTCGTTGGGTCATTGTGATATACTAAACCCGACCACCGCATCACGGTAGCAGTTATCTGTCAGGGTTAGTTCGAGTAAGATTTTAGAGTCAAAAGTTGTTGGACACGCAAATGAGTTTTGATAACAACAAATTTGAAAAAGACCACATATTTTACACCATGATGAGGGTGCATCGATCAAACTTTCGCCCAACATTGAACTGAAGGCGGTGTTCGACCACACCGATAGAGGTGCTGTAGCAGAAACTGACTGCAAAACTGTGAGGTGAGTACATTATGCCAGTCTGTTATGAACAGTAGTACTTGGTTATATGGGGTGATAAGAGAGTGATAGTTGTTTGGAAAGACGAATATGGATACGATAAAGTGTAGCATACACGAATGACTAGTGATCATGCCAAAAAAATAACTGATTAACAAAATGGATAAATTTGTTCCAACTAGTTGGACCAGTATGGCTAACGTGACTCTGCGTACCTCAAGCTTTTCAGAGATTGAATTACTATTCAAACAACATCCAAATGACTCAGCAGTAGTTTAATCTGCCCTATTGTACAGTGGTGAAACATGGTTGCTGAAAGTGGATAAAATGAAGTTATGTTTCTCGCTGTTTCCACCTCAGTGGATTGGGGTGAAAACTGAACAATTTTTATACAAGAAATAAGAAAACAGGCACAAAAGGAAAGTCAGTCGATAAGGCTCTGGACTTTAACTGACTAAGGTGGCTTGACCATGTGCTGAGCATGTCATTCTGAAAAAAATAAACGGTCCATTATATGATATCCCAAGCTTTTTGAGCAATGACATCATTCATACGGTTCATCAAATGTTTGTCTACAGCTGTTATATCACATTCCAACTGCAACGATTTCAGTCAACAAGTCTGAAAAATCGTGCAGCCATGTCGGTGCTAGGAGTTACCTACAAAACGCACATGTTCTTTTTCTCGATCTAGCTGAATCACTTGACACTTTCCATCTGCAGTCCTGCTTCACACGATCTATCAGCTAGCATAAGTGAACTTATACTCTCTTGCTTTAAATCGTATCTAGAAGATAGACAGTTCTGCACGAAGGTAAACAGAATACGGTAGGAGTGGAGACCAACTAATTCAGGCGTGTTGCAAGGAACAATCCTGGGACCACTTCTGTTCCTCCTGTCCATCAACGATCTGCTACACAAAGTCTCCTCACCCATTCTCCTCTTCGCTGATGGCATTAAAATTTGGAGGATAGTCAACAAAGAAGTCGACTGTACAGTGCTCCAAAATGACCTGCAGCAACTTGAAATCTGATCGTCAGGAAACGGCTTGAGCTTCAACCTGATAAGGTGCAAGGTAATGCACATAAGTACCTATGGAGCAAGGATGGCGGAATTCCAACACAAGTTGAGTAGTCGTGCTATGGCCAAAATATCCACAGACAAAGATATGGGTCTTAACTTCTCAGACACACCAAATAACAGCTCCAACTACAAAGAAATGGCAGCCAAAGCGAATGCCACTTTTCACTTTTTCTGTAAACAGCCTGGTGCTCTCATCTCTTAACTGTTTCTCAAAGTTTTCAAATTATGAGTACAGCCACATCTAGAGGTTTTCGATATGGTGGCACCCTCAACACTCATGAGAATCCATTCACCTTGAGCAAATACAAAGATCTGCAAAAAAATCAGTTGTGAGATTAAGGAGAAACACGTACTCTGAAAGACTGAAATACCGAAGCCTATTCATCATAGGCTGTCGTAGAGAGGGGTGACCTCATTAAGGCCTACATCATCCATCAGGCAAATCACGCAAACAAACTAGTTTTAACCGCAACACTGGAATCACCAGGATAGCACATCAGAGAGCTAACACTTATCTCAGGTTTAACGTTTTCCCTCTAAGAGAATGTGCTTTTTGGAATGCCCCGCCACAGCATGTAGTCAAAGCTATTCAGTAGACTCATTCAAAAGACGGTTAAACACTTGCGCCATTTCGCATGGTTTACCACAGGCCTACTAAGTGAATTACTAACTCCATTAGCCCACCACTACTTCCTTCCTACTCACCATCTCTATTGTTGACATCCATATTATCAGCTAACTATTCTCTAACAACTAGACCCATACTATCTACTTTTACCTTTTGAGTTATTTCCGTATTTCTTTTCCCACTATTCGGTCATTATTATTCAGAAATCTATACGGACAGGAGTCACGACAGCTCCCTAATCTTCCCGGCAACCGGTAGCTCGTTAGCCACCCAACAAACTGCAACTACTAACCCGCAAAAACATTCACCTCACCAGAGCCAAAAGAAGGGAAGCAGAAGAGATTTCCTTGTCCACTGCAGGAGCGAATCGAAGAACACTAATCAAGTGCCAAGAAGCAAACGCGAGAGATCAAAAGTTATCCGTCTTCTACGCTCGCATCACCAATGTTGGATAGTGTATGAGATAATGTTAGAGATGTATAAAGACTGGTTTTATGTAACAGTGGCAACTACACACTATTTAGTCGAACACTTCTTAAATGAACGTATTAACTATTCTACTTTTCCACGTACATTAACTTGTTCTTCATGTGTGCTGAAATGAAGCTTAGAAACGGATAAAAACCAGGATAAAAAAAAGTAACAGGAGCGGGAAGCTAAGAGGGACAGGGTATTCAGTTTTTGCCATATAAGACCCATATATAAGAATGGACCCACGTTCTAGCAACCCTAGTGGTCCTTTCTGTATCCTGACACTACATCCAACATCGATAGTGCGAGTGTAAGAAACTGATAGTTTTTGACATCTGAAGTCTAGTTCTTGGGGCTCGGTCCATGTTCTTCGGCTTGTGTATGCAGTGGATAAAAACATCTCTTCTGCTTCGCACCGTGTTGCAAATAACAAACCATAATGAATTATAAGTACGTGTCGGAATGAAAAATTGGAAAAAGTATCTCTGATTGGAAATGAAACCCTTCTAATGTAATTATTAGTGACTAACTCCTGTCCAGTCAGCATCAACTATCTTACTAACAAAAGTAATATTTTTATTGGGTTCCATAAACGCTCCTAAAAACGGAGCTTTTTTAGACAATTCAAGTCACGACGTACCTGAGGCCTTAGGTATATATATATACATCGGTTCACTTATGAGTGAAAAGTCACCATATTTAGTAGCAAATAGGAAATTTTCAAAGGACAAAAGGATAAGGTTTTTAATGTAGGCAGATAAACAGTGTGTAATAGGTCCGGTATATCAAATAACACTCCAAAAACCATACTTTTCATCTCATAACGGTGGCGCAAACGGAGGCATTTGGCGCTTCCCTTGTCGACCTTCAGTTGTCATGATTAGCTTATAATTGTTTAAAATGACCGTTAGAATTTGGGAAAGGAACTGAGTGTAAACGAAGACTACATTTTCCGATTATGCTTCAGTCTTGGCTTAACATCCGTCATACCTATGTGTAAATCTTACTTTTTAAGTTCTTCATCATTTAGAACCAGAAAAAGCATGCCAACAAGGTATATTGAAACCTGGCAAATAGAAATACACTGACGATCAAATACCACTCTGATGGCCTTGACAGGGGGCGCAGATACTGTAGCGGAAAATAGAGCCACAAAATCAATGGCCTGGAGCACAACAAGATTCAACATTAGTTCTAACCTCCGCAGTTTTTCCGGACTTGTTAGGCTGAGGGTAAACATTTGGCACGCTAACACCTTTCGCGTTGTGCTGCCCGCACGCGAACTCGTAACACACGCGTCGGCATCTCGGCACGCGCTACCAAGCATACTATTCTGTCTAGCTACTCTATTGCTTTCTTTCTTGGTCTCGTTCTCATGGGTGTGTAACAGGTACGAACAATTACCGATTGGTCCTTGCATCTGTTGGATTCGCGTAAGATCTGTTCCAAAACTATTATGCCCTCCGACTGAGAGCTCCAACGACTTCTAGGTGGATGCACAATCCAACCTGTCGACTCAAACTTCAGAATTAGTGCTGTGGTGATTTCGAAAGATGATTCTGTGGGTTCTGTATCCCTCTCAACGCGGTGTGTTTGACTGCCTAGTCCGAATTTCCCCATGCGCCAGTAACCACTGTAACTAGGGATTGTGTGCAGCTGAAGGATTCTCATGAAGTAAGGCGATATCATTTTTTACTGTAACCAGTCACCTATTGCTCTGGTTGAAATAGGTGAGGGATCCAAATGCAAAGTATTATCAGTTAATCAGCTCTGCACAGGCAGTTCTGCTATTCGTCGTCAAGGAAACGTCAAACAGCTTCTTCAGTACAGTCAACATGTATCCGTATATATGCCCAGAGTGTCGGAAATCACCGGCTATCACTACTGGCAAACTGGAAAACCTGGTTCGGTCAAAAATGTTGCAAAGAACGAGCTCCAATAATCTTCCCTCTGAATGCTGTGTAGCTCCACAGGTGTGCAAAAATGCCGCAAATAGGGGCAGGAAGAAACTGGCTCCCACTCCAAGTGAGATACCAAAAAGGTCCTCGCTTGTACCGCCGCCACCCAGATGATTCATAGGGACTGAACAACCCGAGGAAATAGGTTGCTCTGAGAACGTATGGACAACAGTGAATGGGGTAAGGGGCAGACGGAAAGCACTTGCTACCGAGCCCGATATTCCACACTTACAGGACAACAGAACGGATTCCACCATTCTGTTCAACATCCCTACACCAACAGATTCACTCTTAGAAAAAAGAGAACAGTCTGACGAGGAGAAGTGGGGTGACTACTGCAGAAAGTTAAGAATAGAAACCATCGCAGCCAACTTATTCCGGTTCTCCCGAGGAAGTAGAGCACCCCGAGATAAGCCGCCACCACTCTGGGTATCAGCAATGACGGTGAAACAGTCGGGGAACATACTGCTGCTGTCGCGCCGACCGGATATTGCAGGCTCTTGCCCCATAAGGGTGAAACTAGACAAACTCTGGGTCACCAGAAAGGCAGAAAGGAAGTCCCCGCCTAGTGACTTGCACAAAGCTGCAACTATGGTGGTGCACGGAATGCCTGAACTGGATCCACAAAGTATGATAATTGCCTTCATGATGTCGAGCAGTGGAGGTGGTTAGCAGCAAAAATGAGACTTGAAAATTTGCCTGGCAGCAGCGTAAGTAGGTTACCGAGACCTACGCACCTGCAGGGCATCTCCTCACCAAGATTGCCAGCTGTATGCATTGACCGGAAAGCATCACTAACAGAAGCTCTCATGGCATGGTACCGCGTGAAAGACCACATAGGAGGTGCTATACGGTGCTGTGAGAGTAAACCATGAGCTGCCAGACTAGAAGATAGGAGGCAACCTCCGAAAACACTACAAGAGGTACTGGTCAGAAAAGAATTAGCTACCTGTAGGTACAATAAACAATACTGCCACATCAGCAGCAGGACACTACGAGGGGCCAAAACGGAGACCTGCCAGTCCGTGCTGGACCGGCAAAATCCGATGCAGTGGCACACTAGCCTCCAAACGAGTCCCCATATCGCACTAAGCCCAGGACGTAGCTCCTTAACAATCATCTACAGCAATCTGAGAGGTCTTAGGAGTAAACTACTGGAGCCAAGAACAACGTACCATAATCTGCAAGCAGACATAATTCCCCTCACGAAGATGCGGCTGTCAGAAGACATAGCGGATTAAGAAATATGTTTGCCTGACATAACCCTGTTCCGAAAGGGCAGGCGGTTCAAAGGAGGCTGGGGATTTGCCATGTATACCAGCACTCATCTAAAAGTCGGGGAAGCGATAGCTGGTGTGTTCAGCTTACTACCAGACTCCTTATGGTGCCATTTAACCATGAACCAAACCAAGTACCTAACAGAAGTGGTATTTAGGCCTCCCCTCTGCACGACAGAGCGTACCACAGTTGCTCAGTGCCATTGCGACAACCACCTCGGCAGGATCACCAGTCGACTACGTTCTAACAGACGGTGACCTTTTGGTGGACAGTATCTGTGTCCAACCCCCTTAAGTAAAAGCGATCAAGTATCGGCGAGATTCTCTCTGACAACCAAAGCGACACCGCCAGTAGTTGAGCGTTCCGCTGTAACCGAAAAGCAGACTACCACCCCATGAACAACGAACTCCTGGAGACTGCATGGCCACAAGAATGGCACTCACTATCTATAGGCGAACACTGGATACGGATTTAAAATATTATCTGGAGTGCTATCGAAAGAAAATTAACCAGACGGCCACCTCTCGAACGGTCTGGGGTAACTCGCGCAACCGAAAGACAAATAGAACCAGACTTTCAAAGCTACAGGACGTTGCGAAACTTGTGTAATATAAGAATTCGTAGTAACGGGCACACACACACCAGAGCAACCTGGCTAAAAAGTTAAGCTACCATCCGAAAAGTCTGTATCGGTTTACGTCACAACGCAAACCGGCCTGATCACAGGGCCGGCCGGGGAACCCTTGAACAGCAATGAGATGGCGGAAATGTTGAGCAGTCGATTTGATGGGCAACTCAACTCAGCAACACATACGCCATCAACATCTAGCAACGTAACGAGGTCCCAGGACTGCGATACACAGCTGATAAACGTAAATATTTCGTCAAACCAAGTGTTTGCGAAACTTTCAACACTAAGAGTAGGGAAATCCTACGCAACTGTGCCGAAGTACTAGGCACACCCATGTGCAACCTGCTCGTGCACTCGCTGGAAGTAAGCCAAATCCCCAAAGAGTGGAAATGCGCCATCCCCCACCAACCTTCAAGGGAGGAGGCTGAAAGAACCAGTGTGACTTCAGACCAGCAGCATTACTCCCCATACCTTCCAAGGCACCAGAAAGCCTGGTTACAGATGTTGTCTGGGACCACCTTAACAGGAACAACATCGTCAGCATGGCTTCAGAACCGGGCGGTCATGTATCACAAACCTGATGACCGCCTGGGATGGCTGGACTACTAGATGGGACAACAAACGACAAATTCACGTTATCTTGGACTCGGCAGAAGCTTTTGATAGCGTCCCACACCACATTATGCTTACCAAGCTGGCAAAGGTGGGTATCACTGAACCACTCTTAGCATGGCTTACAGCACACCTAGAGGACAGAGAATTCTGCACCAAAATAAACAGAATTCGATCAACTTGGAGGAAATCAAGAGCAGGAGTCTCTCAAGGAACTATCCTTGGACTATTCCTATTTCTACTGCCCATGAAAGACCTCCCCACTAAAATCTCCTCATCTGTCCTTCTATTCGCCGACGACATCAAAATGTAGAGGCCGATGGGCAACGAAGAGAATCCAAAACAGCCTGTCGCAGCTGGAGTCCTGGTCAGCTGCAAACGGCTTACGCTTTAATCTGGAGAAGTGGAAGGTGATGTATCTTCGCACATCAGAGGCGATGAAAATCAACTACGCTCTCAACAAGCGTGCAATCACTAGGGTATCCACGAAGAAGGACTCAGAACTTAACTTTTCTGACGCACTGGATACTACTGGTATTTATGAGGGAACGGCAGCAAAGGCGAACGCCACTGCGCGCTTTCCAAGAAGGCAACTTGGATTGTTAACCCCAGAGTTATTCCTCATGGCATTCAAAACCTACGTTAGACCACACCTAGAGGTATTCTACACGATAGCCCCTCCACTACTGAGGAGAGACGCAAATTCTCTCAAGAAGGTACAAAGAATAGCAGCAAAGTTGGTTGTCGGACTAACAGGCAAAACATATGCTGGACACCCCAGACGACTAAACTTATTCACACTAAGCCATCGAAGAAAACGAATAAAACAGCCTACAAGACCATTCACCAAGTGGCCAACTCAAGTAAGGCAACATTATCCGTCCAAAACCGACAATCCCGTGGGCACCCCACTCGCATACCCTACCGTAGGGCAAAGACTACAGTGAGATCTAACTTCTCACATAGAGTATGTGCCCTATGGAACGTGCTGCCGGAAGAAGTGGCCACAGCGACATAAGTCAACTCCTTCAAACGACTACTGAATAAGTATCTGAGTGCAAATGGCTTACCATGAACATTTGTTAGTAGCAACCGATGATGCTCCCTTCCATCCCTGTATCCTCCTTCTATTCCCCAACCCTAGTATCCGCAGTAAGATGCGCCTCTCCTCCCCATTATAGCCAGTCACATTCATCTTTTCGAAAGTTCTCTTCACTTCTCTTTTTCTCATTCACCACTCACCCTGTCTCTATCACTATTCAAGTAACGCTTAACACTTACTTGCAGGTGCCTACAACAACAGGAACTGCAAACGGCTGGTTGCTCTTATCAGCAGCTCCGTCGCCCTCTTAAACTAACCAAGCTACAATTCCAAAATAAAACACCTTCAAACAGACAAACACTACCCCCAAAGCTATATCAGGAAAACG